ACACACACACACAAGTGTGTAATTCAACACACACACACACAAGTGTGTGTGTGTGTGTTGAATCTGTTTCAGGTGATAAATACACTGAGTCTGTGTTAAAGGCAATAATGACAGTTTAATTACATTAATTACATTTAATGACACTTTGACATTTAATGCTGAGGCAGTAAAGAGACTGAACTGAAAGCATTACACACATCCTCTATCACTTCACCATCATCTTCATCTCTGTCAGTACTATGTGACACAGAGACAGACTCCATCAGGCTCCATCAGGACGTCTTCAGGTCACTTCAGAGATAATATTGATCAGGTTATAGATTGTATAATGCAGTTAATATCTGATTATTACACGCTGAGTAGTTCAGAAGCTGTTTAATACACTTTAAAGGAGCAGTCCGTCACTCCAGGAAAACCTCTGCTGGAAGACCAGACACGTCAGTAGCTGCTTGACCAAAACCTGAAGTCCTGGACTCAGACCGGATCCACCTACAGACCTCAGAGCCAGCAGGAAGAGGACTCAATGGAAGTCTGGATCATTTATCGACATGTTGTCAGAGAAGCTTCTCAATATTTCACCTCTTGGTCAAATTGTTCGCAGTCATGGAATTAATTTCCATTGTTACGCTGATGATACTCAGCTGTATGTGCCTATAGAGGCTTATGATTCCTCCCAGATTATGAATTTAGAGGTCTGCTTGTCTGCTGTGAAAAGCTGGATGTCTCATAATTTTTTGCTACTAAATTCAGACAAAACTGAGATGCTATTCATTGGCCCAACCCGTCATAGACACATAGTCACTTTTGATTCTTCCCTTCCCTTTGATCAGCACATTAAAGATATAGATAACATAGCTAGGATTCGGTCTCTTCTTTCTAAGACTGATGCTGAAATTTTAATTCTTTTGCTTCATCTAGACTTGATTACTGTAACGTTTTGTTTTCTGGCCTGCCACGTGCTCGTATTAAAAGTCTTCAAATGGTTCAGAATGCTGCTGCTAGAATTGTTGCCAACCCAGAAAATTTTACAATATTACACCGATTTTAGCCTCCCTTCATTGGCTTACTGTCCATATCAGATCAGACTTTAAGGTGCTTTTGATGGCATATAAGGGACTTGCTCCTTCATTCCTGTCTGAGCTGCTTAAACCTTATACTCCATCTCGTGCTCTCCATTCCCAGAATTTAGGGCTCCTGTGTGTTCCCAGAGTTAAAAAGATGTCTGCTGGGGGGCACTAGTGAACCAGCAATGGAGTAGGATGTGTCAAGTCGAGCTCCTGCCTAGCTTCTTTAAAATTATTTTTTCAGGGCACACTTTCTGCAAATTTATCATTAACCTTTAACATACGCAAGAGTCAGTGGAGCTGTTTTCACGTTGTTTCAATGGTGACTAAGCTCCATAAAAACAAATAAAACGGTCCCTCAAGTACTAGGCCTGACACCTCTGCGACACAAGTTTCTACAGAGCACGGTGTCCAATCACTCTCCCCACGGCCAGAGTCAGGGATGGATGCCGACAACCTGAGAGTGGACATCTCGGTGGCTGTCAGGGCCGAGCTAAAGAATGCACTCCCAGAAGATTTTAACTTCCTGAAAAGTGAACTGAAAGAGGTAAAGTGCAAAGTTGTAAACAACACAGCAGCTATTCATACTGAAATCGATATTATGAAGGCCACCATAAGCAACATGGAGGAAAGCCTGTCAACATGGTTGAGTGAGGTCGAGGTGCTACAGACAACAGTGGCTGAACTTAAGACAGAGGTGGCCACTTTGAGGGAGAAAAATGAGGATGTTTAAAGTAGGATGCGGAGATGCAATATTCGTATCATGGGCATTGCAGAGGAACCTAGTTCGTGCTCTACCATGGCGGTCTCTAAACTACTGAAGGAAACATTGCATATGGAGAAGGAAATCCTGATTGACCGCTCACGCTGAGGCCTCATACCATGAAAGGCAAGTGGAAAACCTCGGGCTATCATCGCTACTACACCGAGCCTGGGAACAATGCCCGCTCCGCTATAAGGGTGAACCGATAGCCATCTCTCCAGACTACACCGCAAGTGTGGCCAAAGCTCAAGCTGCATTCAATGATGTCAGGGACCTACTCCGAGGCCGACTGGATGTCTGATACGGCATAATATTCCCAGCCCGACTCTGCGTCTCTTACAATGGGGACAAGAAGGAGTTCCTGGATCCAGAGAAGGCAATGGCTTACATTAAGAACACTATTCCAGCAGCTGAGGCTGCAAAGTAATGTAAATTCTCAGACTCATTCTGATCCTGAAGCCTACTATCTTCTTCCCCTGAATGGATGCCACTATTTTGAAGGTTTGAGAGGCAATTCTATTCAAGGGACTCACTCACTTGCTGACTGTCTTTGTATAACATTTGAGAGTGGATTGTTTTGTTTTTTTCTTCTTCTCTTCATAGGGTAGGTGCATATCTGCATTAGCAATGCTAGTTCTCATCCTCGTGTATGCACTCTCTTAACGAAGTGATTTGTCGGACTGTTTTAGTTTGGAGTGATTTAGATGGTTTCAGGTGGGTATGATTCTAGATGTGCCATGACACTCTTTCTATCAAAATGCCATGTGCCTTGAATCTCAAGATATGGGCACATTATTTATTATTTCTTAATCTATACATGTGGGTTTTTGTCTTTATTTCTCATTTTTATTATTATCATTATAATAATAATGATAATAATAATAATCGTTATTATTAATACTGCTAATTACAATAATGATGATAATAATAATAATTATAATTATAATAATTATTATTATTATTATTTACTTATCTATTTTTTTCTTCCTTTTTAAAAAATCTTTTGTCTCCCTTCGTTCATCTCCCCACATGGCTCCACTGATACTATTGAATGTTGTTATGGCCTGATGCCCTTATTTCCTATGGGAGGCTGGGCAGGAGCAGGTCACCCTGGACACTAAGCAGTTCCCCATTACCATCACTCAATGTGTGGTTTTGCTTTCAAAGTGGTTTGTAGCCACCATGTTCATTTATGTAGCAGGGGTTGGGGACTCACCAGAACTACATTTTTAGTTTGTTTCGTTCGCTATTTACATTGTCTTTCATGCTTTAATATCCGCTGGCTTAAAATTTTGGGATGGCCCCTTGACTATGGCATTATGCATTCCTGGTGTGGTCCCTGGTCATTGCTCATGAAAACTCAGTGTCTTACTTCTGTCAGACGATGCATTTGTTCATTTTATTAAATCTGAAATACATTTTTTTCAACCATGATCAGACCCCGGGAATGTTGTCCACAATGATACTTTAGGGGGCAGGTTATCTCTTACTGCACAATGCGAATGATATACTTAAACAGCATCTGACACTTAAAACAGAGTTCGATCTCCTTTTGACACGCCAAGCAGAAAACTTTATCTTGAAGTCTAGACATGGCTCCTATGAATATGGAGAAAAGGCTGGGAAAATTTTAGCTCACCAACTAAGTCAGAGGACAGCTGATCAGTACATACCTGAAATTAGTGGGGGACAAGGTTTAAGACACACTGATCTCTTGAAAATAAATTCTTGCTTTCGTCATTACTCCTGCCTCTACACTTCAGAGCCACCTGAAGATGAATCTGCCTTGGATAAGTTTTTTCACAATGTTAACATCCCCAAAAAATATCTGCACCTAGGTGCTGAGTTAGATGGCAATGTTTCAATTGAGGAAATCTTAGAGGTGATTAGAAGCATGCAGAGCAACAAATCACCTGGGCCTGACGGCTATCTGTCTGAGTTTTATAAGACATTCTGAGAAATACTTGCCCCCCTTTGTCTCTGTCTTTATGTCAGGATATGCATATTAAAGGAATTGACCAAGAAGACCTGGAGTATAAGGCCTTGCTATACGCAGATAATTTGCTGTTATACCTTTCGGACCATTTGTCTAGTCTTGCTCGGCTATTAGACATGTTAAAGGAATTTTGCAAAATATCAGGTTATAAGATAAACTTTCAAAAAAGTGAGTTGATGCCAATTAATACATAAGCCAAAAATCTTTCCTTCAGTTCAACCCTTTTAAAATTAACACGAAAAAGTTCAGATATCTGGATCACACATAAAGACCTTTATAAAACTAATTTTCTGTCCCCGATAAGTGGTCTGAAGCAGGACATTAAATGCTGGGATTTGCTGCCCCTTTCTCTGAGTGGAAGGATCAATACCATCAAGATGAATGTGTTACCTACATTCCTTTATCTGTTTCAAAATCTTCCTATTGTTCTTTAACTCATTAGACAAGTTTATATCAACCTTTATCTGGAACAAAAATGTCCCACGTATACAGAAAGGTATACTGCAGAGGCCTTGCCTTCATGCTGGTATGGCACTCCCTAATTTTTGTTTTATTACTGGGCAGCCAACATCAGGGCGTTGATGTACTGGATGAATGTCATATATAACTCAGATACCCCTTATTGGCTAATGCTAGAGAGTGCATCCTGTAGACATACTTCCTTACCAGCTTTATTATGCACTCAACTTACACTTGTATTAAGACAGTACAGTATAGTATAGTATAACAGTATAGTCCAGGTTGTCCTGCCAATGAGATCACTGTAAACTTTCTGAAAATCACAGCATCATTCTAACCGTTTGTTTTTTCCCTCAAGCACATGAAGCACCCAGGCTGTGTGTCTCTCTCTCTCCCTTCTCCTTCTCCATCTCCACAGCTCCTCCCGCCTCCAGAGCTGTAGAGTCTGGATCTGCAACTACAAACCAGCTACTGCCCCATGATCCTGTTTAACAACTGCTGCTAAACCTGCTAAAATTTTACTATAAATAATGATCATTATTATTGTTATAAGCTGTCGTTACTACTTTTATCAGTTGGAGTATTACAGTTACCATTACATTATTATTGCTGTTATTGCCACTATTATTAATATTGCTATCATTGCACGTTCTCGTTCTTTTCCTCTGTGCTCTCTCTCTCTCTCCCCAACCCAACCGGTCGAGGCAGATGGCCACCCACCCTGAGTCCGGTTCTGCCCGAGGTTTCTGCCTCTGGCTGTCCTTGCTACTGTTGCCTAGTGCTGCTCTTGGTGGGAATTGTTGGGTTTCTGTAAATAATATTATAAAGAGAAGGTCTAGACCTGCTCTATTTGGAAAGTGCCTTGAGATAACTTATGTTGTGAATTGGCACTATACAAATAAAAACTGATGACTTGACAAGCTGAGTCAATCTGATTTTACTGATGTTTATTGTGATGATTGATCATTGAATTAATGTTAAACCAGATACTATATAAACTATATACAGTATATTTCCTGGTTTAAATGTTATATGGGTTAACCTGATAAAGATAAAAAACTATGGGATCAAATTAGGATAAAAAAGACTTTGAGCTCATAAAGTGATGAACACAGTTTGCAGCTGTAAATCAAACAAACAGATCTCAAGCAGTTTCTGCTTGTGACCTCACCACTGATGTCATCCCTTCAAACTTTATTAACACAGGCCACACAGTACAACTCTTTTCTACACGTGTCCTGACTTATTTATTTTACAGGGCGATTTACAGCAATACACTTTAGAATTATTTCACTTACAAGCTCTAAATCTTTTTGACCCTCATTTGAACCAATAGAAAACCGACAGGTTTGTTGTCCACCACCTGAACCCGCTAATGTAAAACTGAGCTGCGCAGGTCAGCTGATTGATCAACTGACAGAAATTGACAACTATTTTGATAATTGATTAATTGTTTATGTCAACTTCAAGTCAAAATATTTTCAGTTTTCTCTGTTTCTGTCTCAGTAACTGAAGATAAAATGTCTGAACATGTCAGAGATTCAGAAAACTATCACCTCTTCTTCTTTTGTGGTTTAATGGCAGCGACTGGAGAATCTGCTCCATCAGCTGTTTATCTCCATCAGTCAAGTCATGTTCATACAGACGAGGAAACAAGACTAGACACAGGTTTGACTTTGGACCAGGTTTTAAAAGTGACCTGGGTCTCAGACCTGTGGGTCCCAGATGTGATGCCTGCAGATGTGTTGACTCACCTGTGTTGACTCACCTGTCGGCTGAACACAGCTGACTACTTGGTAAGGTAAAAAGCAGACAGACTTGAAGTTGCTGTTCTTTTGATGGAGCTAAGCTAACAGCTCCCCCCTGCTTCCAGTCTTTGTGCTAAGCTAGGCTAACCACATCCTGGACCTGTCTCCAATGTACCTAAAATTCATGTGTTCAACTGAATCTGGTTTCGTAAATGTTCCTTTAAATCTGGACTCAGAGGATCCAGGACAGTTCCCTGAGGAACTCCACAGTACTGAACAGAGAACAGGAGGTCCCCTGAAATGTTGGACTGTTCCTTTAAATCTAATGACTCTTTGTTCTACAGAGAAACATGTTTCTGCTATGGTGTCAGGGTGGGGGGTGTAACACTGTTAAAGGTCACATGATTGTTTCCAGAGGATCAGAGTCCAGGTCCAGGTCCAGGTCCTCTAATGGTTATGGTTCCAGTCTGATTATAAACAGCTCTGTCAGTATTTACAGATGAGTTATAATCCAGGTCCAGATTCAAACTGGAGTCCACAAGTGTCAGTGATGTAATCATCAGTCAGCCAAACAGGAGGCCAGGTTACAGGGAACACTGACAGGAACTTGGGTTCAGGTTCTTTGGGTCTGCTCTGATTCTGGTCCAACTGCTGTCAGGTCCATTTAGGTTTGGGTGAGGGATACTCGAGGTATTCTCCAGGAACACAACAAACATTTCAAAACTTCAGGAACTGTTTCAGGGACCCATGTAGGAAGTCCTGGGGACCCTTTCTAGGAGCTTGGAAGCTTTTCCAAGAACACAGGAACCCTTTTAGACTTCAAGAACCTTTCTGTGAACCTTTTTAGACACTCAGGAACTTCTCCAGGAAAGGTTTTAGGAACTTGGAAATTTCCTAAGAGCCCAAGAACCTCTTTAGGAAATTCTATGAACCGCTTCAATGAACCCAAGAACGATTTTAGGGGCTGAGGAACTTTTCCAGGAACCACTTTAAGAACTCAGAAACTTTTTTCCATACCCAAGGACCTTTTTAGGCACTCAGAAACATTTCCAGGAACATTGTCAGGATCTGAAGAAGTTTTCCAGGTACATATTAGCCACTCAGAAAGTTTTCAAAGAACCCAAGGAACCTTCTTAGAAGCTTGGGGACTTTTCCAGGAAACCATTAAGGAAATCAAAAAAATCTTTAGGAACTCACACACTTTACCAGTAACCATCTTTACGATCTCTGGAACTTTTCCAGAAACCTGGGAATTTCAAGGAGCTCTGGAACCTCTTTAAAATCCAGGGAATTTTGGAAAAACTGTTTAGGAACCCAGGAACTTTGTTCAGAAGCCTTTAATGAACTCTGGAAGTTTTTCAGGGACCCAGGAACCTTTTTAGGAACTCAACGACAGCATCACCCCTAGTTCTGCCACAGGAACCTAGTTCAAGTTCTGGTTCCTGGGCTGAATTCAGTTCTCTGGATTTTTTGTTGGAAAACGTCTTTTTAAGGATTTGATCCGACGACCAGCTCCAGTATCTCCAGTTTTGCTTCTGGGGAAAATAAAAAAATGAGTGTTGAGCAAATGAATCTAAACTGAGACCAGGATCCAGACCAGGATCCAGACTCCAGAGACCATGTTCAGTCTGAAGAAAGTCCAATGATATCACTGCTCACTAGTCCATTCAGGTTGCCATTACCGCCCCAAAAGAAAACACTTCCTCCCTCCATCAGCAGGTGGAGAGGTGGTAGTGGTGGTGGGGGGCTGTGACCATGACGACAGTCCTCAGGACTTGTTGTCATCGTAGAGGTCCAGCGAGGCTTGAATGTCCGGCAGCTCCATCTCACAAACGACGCTGCGAGGAGACATGGAGTTCCTGTTGAAGAAGTGACCGCCGCCTGATGAGACAGAAAAACACAAACATTTCAAAACCAGGTCCAAACAGTCCAGGTCCGGATCAGTACATGTTGACTATATTTACTGAAACCAAGTCCACACAGTCCGGGTCTGGATCAGTAGACATTTACTAAGTAAAGGATGTTCAATGACTTTAGTGCAGGTTTAGAGGGTTAATCATGATGCGTACAGCTGATACAATGATTCTATATTACTCTTTATCTATAATCTATAATGTATAATCAATCAGTCAATCAACAGAAAAATAATCAGCAAATATGATTTATTGCTTGTATAAAAATGATAATAATATCTAGTTCCAGCTCATGTCAGTGATTCCCATTCTGGTGGTCTGGAGTTCTCCTATAGGGAGTTCATGAACTGCATCATGGGAAACATTCAAGAAACAAGAAGAAGAAAAAATCTGACACCCAAATTTAGATTCTTGTTTCCAATCATTGTTTTCTTTACTTATAGTCTTTGGGCTCTTAGTCTTTACACATGTTGAGTAACTGAACTCACAGTGAACATGTCACACTACAGTTTATCTATTGATCAGTATCTACAGGCTGATCTGATGACATCATGTGTTTATGACAGCATTGGGTCCACCTGGTGGACAATCTAAGACACTGCAGCAACATCTGTAAAAACAGCCAGGATCTTCTAGTCTGTAACGTCTCCTCGTTAAAATGTCTGAAAACAACTAGACCTCTGTTCTATGTTCTATATGTTGTTGCGTTCTTACATTATCCCAAATGTTTCCATCAATTCTCAAACCAGAGAAATCTGTGATTTTAATCATAGTAACGCTTTCATTGGTCTCCTGTCAATGACATCATATCCTCTATGGTCATGTCTCAGTGTGTTTGTCTGACAGAAGCTCAACATTGACTTTTATCTAGTTTTAATCCACAGACACTTTTTACACCTTGGTGGTTTTCAGCTCGTTATTTGAACCAGATGATTTTAGTCATGGGACGTCTGGATCTGAAGTTATCAGAGAAACAAGCTGAAGAAATGTTAGACAGCTCAGCTCCCAGCCGCTGGAGACGTCCTGCTCTGTGTCACTTAAGAGCGAATCACTGATTCTTAAAGTGAAACTGCTTTATGGGTGTTTCTACTGGTTTTAATCCCCTGGTCTATTTGTTTTGTAGAGGAGGACACTTCTGTGGATAATTCAGATGCTGGTAAAAACCTCCTGAGCGTCTGGTTCATAAGTTATTAAAGAAACAAAGGAGAGCTGTCTCCGTTTCCAGCTGCTCCCTGTCCGCCGAAGAGTGTCGGAGAATCACCAATTTAAGTTATGTTAGTTAAGTTATTTTTTGCCCTTATTCAGATACAGTTACAGTGAGAGAGAGGACAGTCTGGGAGGGAGAGGGGGAGGATGAGGTGGTACAAGCTCTACCAGGTGAGCCGCCCTGAACCTCTGATTTTTAAAGTGAAATTTTATTCTGATATACAGGACGGGTGGAAACTCTAAGTTGTGTCAGGAATGTGTTGTCAGTGTTGTGTCATGTCGTGCTGCGTTCTTACTGGTCACGGCGATGGTGATGTCAGCCGGTGTTCTGGGCGTGGCCTCAGGGTGGGGGGGGCTGAGCGGCTCCAGGCTGATGGACGGCTGGTTGCTGTCGCCCAGTGGCGCCCTCTGGCTGCCAGATGCCTGACTGACACCCAGACGCTCCACATCCAACACCACACTGTCCACACAGGGAAGACTGGTCTGAGGACAGGGTACGGACAGAGGGGAGACAGAAGATGGAGCATTAACAGGTGTCATATAAACACAACAGGTCTCATTTATAACCTGTGTGTAGTGTATGCCACTTCCTGTGTGGGCGTGGTTTAGAGGGGGAAACACCACAACCTGTCGGATCAGGTGAGGACATGAAAACACACCTGCTGGTTTCTGATGAAGCTTCTGTTGGACACATCACACACTTTAAGTTCAAAGTTCACCTCTGACCCCTCACTGTTTGATATACAAGGCGTCAGACCTGTTGACGGCCCGTTGGGACTCACCATGATGCCGAGAGCTTTGAGGATGTTGAGTTTACACATGGGGCAGGTGCAGTGCTCATTCAGCCATGGGTCCACACACACTTTATGGAAGACATGTCTGCAGAGACACAGAGACACGTGTCATCATCCAGTCCTGGTCTTTCAGCAGTTTGGACTAGACCAGGGACCAGGGTCATCAGAGAGTCTGAGGTGGACCACTGTGATCCTGGTCTGATCCTGGTCACATATTAAACATACAGAATGAGAACCCTGAAGAAACAGTCTCTGACTCACTTGCAGGGCAGAATCCGGACCACATCATTTAGCTGGTACGCTTCAATACACACTGCACAGTGATTAAAGTCCGGATCCGTTTCCTGTAACACACACACACACACACACACACACACACACACACACACACACACACACACACACACACACACACACACACACACACACACACACAGGTAGGAGGACATGTTAAAAGCTGAGCATCAACAGCTTTACGCTGTGTGGTGGTCTGATTTGATTTATATCTTCATCCTTCTGATGATGATGATGATGTGTTTACCTTGTCCCCTTTCTTCACTGTCCTCGTCGTCAACTTCCCGATGGCTTTCTTTGCCGCGTCACCGAGACGACGCTGAGAAACAGAGCACAGAGGACAAAGGTGTGCGCGTGTTAGCTGTATATTAGCCTGTTTACATGTGAATTTAAAACACATTGCTATGGTTACTGAATTCACCCACAGCTGACCCAGAACTTAACTCTGACCTGGTTTCAGCTGCAGATTGTAAAACCTGTTTTCTAATAGTTTAGTCTTTAGTTTAGTTTTAATTGAAATGCACCCTGGGAGTTGTAGTCGACTTCAATTTTTTAATGTCCACAGATTCTTCAGCTTTGACTTTGATCAGAGGAGCACAGTTTAAACTGATCTGAGTCGCTGTTTACTGCAGGAAGCAGGAGGTGAAGTAAAGGATGTTCTGCAGGAGGGGGTCGGGGGGTGGGGGGCAGAGAACTGAGAGGACGGTTCGATTACACTGAGGGGGAGGGGGCTGTGACCACCCACTGCTCAATTAGACTCTCAGCAGAGATTTACCTCATTAAATATTACTGAGTCAGGAGGATATTAGCTTGTATATTAGTCTGTTAGCATGCTAGCCTGTTAGCGCCTTCATTAGCCTGTTAGCAGGTTAGCTGTATATTAGCATGTTAGTATATTAGTTGTATCATAGCCTGGTAGCATGTTAGCTATATATTAGCCTGTTAACATGTTAGCCTTTTAGCTGTTTATTATCATGTTAGCTGTATATTAGCTTGTTAGCCTGTTACCTGACTGCGGTCCCTGGCACTGGTGTAGCGGATCTTCTGGATGAAGTAGAAGATGAGCCAGGCCGACGAGATGATCATGAGGACGATGAAGGAGATGGAGACAAAGACCAGCGAGCCTCGGTTGATGTTTTTAGTGGGACCACGTTGACCCACAACCAATGAGACCAGGACCGTGAGGTTTCTCTCCAGGTGAGCCAGAATCTCTTTACCATACACCTCCGTGATCATCACTGCCACCGTGTCACCAGTACCTGCACTCAGAATCAGGAATTGAATCACAACTAGCACCAGGTCCAGGTCCAGGATCAGAATCAGAATCAGAACCAGGACCAGCGACCTCTTCAGGTCACCTGAATGTGGACAGAACTACAATTGATGATTCACATGGACTCAGACTGAGAAAGACCTTCAGGAAACAGGGACCAGAATGCTCCTTTAAACCTGAACTCAGAGACTGATCTGAGGATCAGGAACCTGTGGCTGCAGGTGAGACATGTTCAGACCACGCCTGGATATCACACATGTAATTTGGATCAGAATAAAAGGTGTCGGGAGAGTCAAGCCTTCACCTCAGGGTTCAGTTTCTGATGGGGTGAGGCCTGACAGGGTGAGGCTGGGTGAGTCAGTCACCACAGATTCCTGATGTGTAAGGAAGAGAAAGATCAGTGATTCATCTTCTGATGGAGGTCCAGTTCAAACATGTTGAGAGCAGAAAAGTTTTCATCCTCTGATGTTCATGAGGTGAAGACTGTCGTCTCTCAGAGTAACACTCACCCCAACACACTGTCACTGGTTTTATTTCATCATGAATAAATGAAATGTGTCATAATGAAGTGAAACTAGCTCAACCCCCAACATCAAACTCCTTTACAGGTCCAATCTATATTAACTGTGCTAACTAAACTGTATTAACTGTAATAACTAGGGGTGGGAGATATAGCCTCAAAATTATATCACGATATTTCAAGGAAATCTGCAATCATGATATTTATGACGATATAGAAAAAAAATACTGAACATTGTTTTATCAGTGATTGCAACTTGCCGGCAGCAGCATTTATTAGTTCAAACAAAATGAAGGGCATTTTCCATCCTTCTTTTCCAATGAGCTACTGTCATTGATGACTGACTGCCTAATTCGAAGTGTGAATCTATTGCCACAAGGTGACAGCAGCAGCAGCATTATAGTGCAATAGCAGTGACACAGCATGAGTCAGATGTAAGCACAAAGGAAGCCTAGGTAGTGTTTTCCCTGGAAATCTTAAGTAAAAGTATAACATAACTCTGTTACACTTTGGTTTAACAATAACAATAACTAAAGTAACTTAACCTTGTAACTCTTCAGGAACCTGCACACTTTTGTCAGCTAATAGAATTGACCTCAAATTTTAAGTCCAAATGTTAACAAACAGCAGCAATCTGTCCGTAGCTGAGCCAAAAAACTCCACCGATGACTGTGTAGCTGCTAGTTTGCGGCATTTTTCATACATCGCAGGCAAGGATGTCTTTGAAAAATATTAAACAGTTGCTTAAAGCTCTCCTTTTCCACCGTTTGGATTGGCATCAGATCCTTGGCCAAACGACATGTAATCGCATCAGTAATTTCCACCCACCGTTTACTCTTCCTGTCATATGGAGTGCAACTAGCGAGTGCTGAGTCATTTGTTAACTTTTGGGACGCACATCACCAGCTACTTGTATCTCCTCCTCGCCTGCCTTCATAGCCTGGTTGAACTCGACGGGGTGTTTTTGCTTAAAGTGGTGAAACAAGTCTGGTGTGTTTCCACCTTTAGCGGTAACAGTTTTCTTCCATATTTTGCAAAGTATTGTTCTTTGTTGGAGGTCTGACCTCTTGTAGCCAAACCACTTCCATACTACTGAAGTAGCTCACTTATTAGGTACTAAATCGTCATTGGAGGCTGACACGCTGCTCTCACTCTCAGCCATGTTTGGGCCTCTGTCGTTGTTTTGTGCGTTATATCATTGATATCGCAAGATGACATTTTTTATCATGTAAAAATTTATACCGGTGTTATCTTGGACTGTATGATATGGCACAGCCCTAGTAATAACTACACTGTGTTAACTTTAATAACTAAATTGTATTAACTGTGCTAATTACACTGTATTAACTGTAATTACTACACTTTATTAACTGTACTAACTACACTGTATCAACTGTAATAACTAAACTAAACTAACTTATAATATCCCCTCTCCTGATTGGCTTACAACTGTGATGTCATAAAACAGTGTTATTGATCAGAGTGACTCAGCTGTTACACTGTGCAACACCACTACACTGTACTGCAGTATAACAGGACTGCAGGATGACAGTACTACAGTGTACTGCAATATAACAGTACTTCAATATAACAGTACTTCAATATAACAGTACTTCAATATAACAGTACTACAGACTCACACTATGTTGATGTTTGTTTTTATTACATTTAATTTTACTTCCAGCTCATGTATGAAGGATTTCACTCACTCACTCACTCACTCACACTCACACACACACACAGTCAGGTCACTGTGACCTCATCAATTAATGACACGTTCCTCACTATATTTAGAAGTTGACATCGATCAGCAGGAAGTGACTGTTCACACACACACGCACACCTTTAAACCCCCGCCTCCCCTCCACTGAGGGGCTAAGTCACAACTTTTAAAGGAACGGCTGTTTCCAGTCTTTATGCTAAGGTAGGCTAAGCTAACCAGCTGCTGTCTGGACATAAGTGGTACTGATCTGAACATCAGTTTGTGATGAACCTACAGAGAATCATAAGCTGGATCTTTAATGGATAATTCAGTTTATGTAACTGGAGTAAAAAGTTCACATCATACCACCTTCTGTATGAAAGGGAGTCTGTTCATGTGGCTACTGATATCTGATAAATGTTCAAACTGTGGAGGTGAACTTATAACCAGCTGATCAATCATTAGAGGTGAAGCTCTACACCTGCACTACTGAATACATGTAGAGTGTGTCAGTGTTACATGCTTTCGGGGTTGTAACAGTCAGGTGAACAGGTGAATAGGTGAACAGGTGTAGTGATGCGGACCTGCTCCGGTCAGGTTCAGTACCAGTCTGTTAACATGTCTCTGACCTTCGTGTCCCATCTTGACCGTCTTGTCAGTGGAGTTGTTGTAGATGAGGACAGCCGTGGCATTGTACGCTGCCGCCTTCAGGATCTTCTCTTTAAAGGTGCAGTTCCCTCTCTGCAGCAGCGCCACCCAGTGGACATTCCGCGGGGGGACCAGGAAACGAGTGTTGGGGTCGCAGCCCTGCCGGTCCACCACTGAAGAGACACACCGTTACCATGGTTACTGCATTAAACACCTCTTCATTACAAATATATTATGATTAGACAACAATGCAGTAATAGGTTGATGGGTCCAGAGCTCTGGTGGAACCCACTCGTGCTCTAAAGGAACGTAGATTATCTATCCTGCTATCTTTACTGGCAGCATCAATGATCAATAATTAATAATCAATAAATAGAGTCACGTGGGTACTGCGAACAAGATGGCAGCGGGTTAAGGACTCTCCGCTCAGCTACATGTAAAGTTACAAATTATAGAGGCTTGTACTTTTTTAAAAATTTTCCTCCACTCCGAAAAATAAACAGTTGGCGTTGTTTAGGCACGACTAAAACCAGATGTCGACGTCGAAGTATTTCAAAGGTGCAGGCCGTGTGCAGACATGGAGAAGCCCCCCACATGATGATGATGGTATTGCAGGTGAACTGCTGCCAAGCTTCAACAGTTTGTTAGCAGAAATTGCTAAAATGAACACCACATTGCTGGGAGTGGTAACAGATGTTACAACTATTAAGGAGACTACAACGGAGCTGAAAGCCACAGTGACGGCGATGCAGGAGAGATTGGCGGAAGCTGAAACACGCATTATGCGCCTAGAGGAGGCCTCGGAGCTGCTTCTCATGGGCGAAGATAAGAGAGGCAAGCTAACGGATGCTATGTGGGGCCACATTCAAGCTCTGGAAAACCACAGTAAAAGGAATTACTGGTAGGCTTGAAAGAGGCTTTTGGGACTAATGGCACATTGCTGAGCTGTGTTCAGAAGATTTTGACAGAGGGTCTGGGGCTTTGTGCAGAAACATTGTTTGAGATTGACAGAGCAAATCAACTGCTCGTATCGATGCCGGACCCAGACCGACCTCCAAGACCAGTGCTCATACGCTCCCTCAGACAGTCAGCAAGGGACAAGGTGGTTACTTCGGCCAAAGAAAAGCGGGGCTTCGAATGGGAAGGATGTCGGCTTTCTGTATTTCCAAAAGAGCTGGGGGGGAAGAGAAAAGTTTTCACCTCTGCAAAGCGTAAACTGAGGGAACTCGACATGAAATACACACTAGCCTACCCAGCGACACTGCGGTTCATCAACAACAACGACGATAGTGAAGATTGAACATCCAGCGAGGCAGGTGAGCAGACATTTATGCCGTTATGAAAGAGCCACACATACAGTATGATGAAGACTTCGGAGTGGAGACGAGCCTGGCAAAGCCGCCGCTGAGGGAGGATTTTAACTGATGAATGATAATTTATGCTGGAAATGTAAAACGGAGGTAGGAACTTTCCTTCATTGTATATGGGAATGTGCATTAGTAAAGCCATTCTGGGTCAAAGTTGTGGACTTCCTAAGTCTCTGGTTGGGCGTAGCAATCCCCTCGACTCCTGCTGTGTGTTTATTAGGGGATAGATCTCAAATACCAAATGTATCAAAAGGGACATTTTCTGTTATTATGGTAGGATTGGTTACAGCCTCAAGAATTATCTTAACACATTGGAAAGCTGCTGCATCACCAAACATGAAGGACTGGATGAATGCCATGGTGGAGACGGCATCTTATGAGTCTATGCTTAATAGACTGAAGGGGAACATGGAAGATGGAACAGTCCCTTGGGAGCTTTTTTGGACCTTTACAAGGACTGATGAAAACTTGGCTCAGAGCACCAGTGACTGAGCTGGACACTCCCTCCCTTTCTATTGTGAACTGAATGTTTCTCTTCCATATATGTGAGTTAGAATTTTATTTATTTATTTATTTGTTTTGATTGCTCAGTACATTTCTTCTTTATGCACCATGTTTCACAATGTCTATGCCAGAACCAGTAGCTGTACCACCACCCCTGTATCAATGTCATTTAAATTCAAGAAAAATTTAAATAACAAAATAATAAATAAATAATAAGGGAGAAAAAGGTCACATGAGGAAGGTTTGTGAATCTGAGCTCAGGTCAGACCCTGAGCTCAGGTCTTCTTAGGCAGAAGGTCCTGAGGCTGTTTTCTACCTGAACCTCAGACACATGAGTCTGGGCTGAGTCTGTGTTCTTTAAGAATACTAATCTACAGGATCTGGATCCAGGTTGCACTGGACCCAGACCAAATCCTGTGAAGGGTCTGTGTGGTTGTTTTGGTCTGGACCAGGTCAAACACATCACACGAGACTGTCTCTGTTTAATCTGAAACAGATCCTGCATCAGAGATGGGAACTCCTCAGACACTGCACCATCACTGTCCCAACATGCTTTGCTCTGCCCAGGTCATTCAGTCTGACTATTTACATCTAGAGCTCATTATCAATGAATCTACCGATAATCTGAAACTGAGATTTTAAAAAGTGTTTTCTTATTAAAAATCAATTGTTCAATATATTTTCTTATTTATTTTCTCCTGTTTCAACAGAGAAATCTCACATGCTGATGTAAAAAATAATGAGTTTAAGACAGATTTCACAGATTACATAGTCACATTTAATAAGATATTATTTTGTTTTTTACTCAAATCTTATTTAGTTTAAACTTCAAACTGAAAAGTGCCATTTTAGATTTGACCCCTTAGATTTTATTAATTCTACTTTATTGAGTTTATTTCAGTTATTGGATATTAATTGGTTACTTCATTGTATTTGCTCATTTGTTTTTGTGTTTTCTGTCAACCTGTACTTTCTCTTCAGGACAAACAGCGTTTATATGAGTGGAGGCATCAGAACGAGAAGCTGCAGCTGTAACAGATATTAAAGCTCTGTCTCTCTGTGCTTTAATCAGATGCTGCAGACAGTCGGAGCTCCGTCCAGCAGCTGCAGTGTCCTTGGACCGTCTGACTGTAATCTGACACTTCAGAGCAGAGACACTCCGACCTTCAACAGCCTGAAAACCTCTGCAGTGTCTCAACACAACACACTACATATGCTCCATCTGCTCCATACACAACAACAGGATATGAAGAGATACAGGACAGACACACGGAACTAGACACAGAGTCAACACAGAGACAGAATCAACACTCTTCAATCAATTATTAAAGGACACCGTGCATGAGGTGCTCCACTGCAAATATTTAAAAGGCCAAGGACTTTGTGACAAATAAATAATATAAACAGCTCCATCAGTCAGTGTAGACTGTGACTGTCCAGTGAGTCTTGAAGGACAGAGACAGACAGAGATGGATCTGTCCCAGTGCTCCCCATGGCCTGATAGACAGTCTGTTGTCAATGTGTTTATTTTATTTTATTTTAAGAAAGAGAGAGACAGAGACGGAGAGCAGAGGCTGAGCGAAGCACACTACACTACAACAAAGAGACACTACACTACCACAAAGAGACACTACACTACCACAAAGACGCACTACACTACAACAAAGACACACTACACTACCACAAAGAGACACTACACTACCACAAAGACGCACTACACTACAACAAAGACACACTACATTACCACAAAGAGACACTACACTACCACAAAGACACACTACACTACCACAAAGAGACACTACACTACCACAAAGACACACTACACTACAAAAAAGAAAAACTACACTACCACAAAGAGACACTACACTACCACAAAGACGCACTACACTACAACAAAGACACACTACACTACCACAAAGAGACACTACACTACCACAAAAACACACTACCACAAAGAGAAACTACACTACCACAAAGACACACTACACAGAGACAACACACTACCACAAAGGTGCACAACACTACCACAAAGACACATTGCACTACTAGAAAGAGACACTACACTACCACAAAGACACACTACACTACCACAAAGGTGCACTACACTACCACAGAGACACACTACACTACCACAGAGATGCACTACACTACCACAAAGAGACACTACACTACCACAGAGTCACACTACACTACCACAAAGACGCACTACACTACCACAAAGACGCAGTACACTACCACAAAGAGACACTACACTACCACAGAGACACACTACACTACAACAAAGAAACACTACACTACCACAAAGAGACACTACACTACCAGAGACACACTACACTACAACAAAGAAACACTACACTACCACAAAGAGACACTACACTACCACAGAGACACACTACACTACCACAAAGAGACACTACACTACCACAGAGACACACTACACTACAACAAAGAGACACTACACTACCACAAAGAGACACTACACTACCACAAAGACACACTACACTACCAGAGACACACTACACTACCACAAAGACGCACTACCATACCACAAAGACACACTACACTACCACAGAGACACACTACACTACAACAAAGACACACTTCACTACCAGAGACACACTACACTACAACAAAGACACATTACACTACCACAGAGACACATTACACTACAACAAAGACACACTACACTACCACAAAGAGACACTACACTACCACAAAGAGACACTACACTACCACAAAGAGACACTACACTACCACAGAGACACACTACACTACAACAAAGACGCACTACCATACCACAAAGACAAACTACACTACCACAGAGAAACACTACACTACAACAAAGAGACACTACACTACCACAAAGACACACTACACTAGAACAAAGACACACTACACTACCACAAAGACACACTACACTAGAACAAAGACACACTACCATACCACAAAGACACACTACACTAAGACAGAGACACATTACTCTACAACAAAGACACACTACCATACCACAAAGACATACTACACTAAGACAGAGACACATTACACTACAACAAAGACACACTACACTACCACAGAGACACACTACACTACAACAAAGACACACTTCACTACCAGAGACACACTACACTACAACAAAGAGACACTACACTACCACAGAGACACACTACAATACAACAAAGAGACACTACACTACCACAGAGACACACTACACTACAACAAAGAGACACTACACTACCACAAAGAGACAATACACTACAACAAAGACACACTACACTATGACAAAGATACACTACACTACCACAAAGAGACACTACACTACCACAAAGAGACACTACACTACAACAAAGACACACTACACTATAACAAAGATACACTACCACAAAGATACATTACAACAAAGAGACAATACAGTACAACAAAGAGATACTACACACATACTACCACAGAGACACACTACACTACCACAAAGATGCACTACACTACAACAAAGACACACTACACTACCACAAAGAGACACTACACCACAACAAAGAGACACTACACTACCACAAAGACACACTACCACTAAGACACACTACACTACCACAAACAGACACTACACTACAACAAAGACACACTACATTACCACAAAGAGACACTACCACAAAGAGACACTACACTACCACAAAGAGACACTACACTACCACAAACAGACACTACACTACAACAAAGACACACTACAACAAGACACACTACAATACCACAAAGAGACACTACACTACCACAAAGACACACTACACTACCACAAAGAAACACTACAAAAAGACACACTACACTACCACAAAGAGACACTACAAAAAACACACAATACACTACCACAAAGACACACTACACTACCACAAAAAGACACTACACTACAACAAAGACACACTACACTACCACAAAGAGACACTACACTACCACAAAGACACACTACAACAAAGACACATTACACTACCACAGAGACACTTCACTAGAACAAAGACACACTACACTACCACAAAGACACACTACACTACAACAAAGACACACTACAATAAAGACACACTACATTACCACAAAGACACACTACACTACCACAAAGACACACCATAACAAATACACACTACACTACCACAAAGACACACTACAGTACAACAACTTTGGAATGGAATTTCTTTGTCACACACAGTCAACTCAGAATTACATTCCAATTCGTGCCACATTTTTGCTGTACCACCTAACCTAGTGTATAGGGCACTAGAGAAAAAGCTTCATTATTGCACCCATCCATATGCTTTTACTCTCACTAATCATGCATTGGCTTGTGTAGTCAAGTGAATGTCAGCATTTGCCCCATTCATCAATTTAAAAGTAATAAGGCATAGAAGTTTTAAATTACAGGTTTTTTGGTTAAAGTTAATTTCAATAAAAGGAATGTATTTCATAATGTAAGACATGTTTTGGTTTATTAACCAGGATTTCATAAGGTTTTTTAGGGAATGTTACAGCTAAAATACCTGATTTCACCACAGCTTTTCTTAAAAGTTGCTATATCTTTAGATGTTTTTTTGCAATGAAACTGCGGGAGAAAATAAAATTTGCAAAATTGTCGCTATCTTCATAAAAAAAAATTAAAAAATTAATTAATTAAAAATCAAAGGCAACGTGTACCAGTTAGATTTCTGCCTATGACACAGTTTAAATAAATAAATGTCGGCTTTAATACACTCATTAATACACTCCTAAAGACTTGGTGCTCTTGCCTTGACTCCTCTCTCACGCTCTGATTCTCTCTTCCACCGGCACCTTCCACTTGTGGCTAAGAACTAGGCCTACTGTCAGCCCTGACACAGTAACTGCATCTCGTCAGTAACATGAATTAAATTTTATTCCCATATTATAAGAACTAATGACGTCTGCACTTTTTGCAACAAAAAAAACCATACATGATGGGATGTAACGTTGATTTAGGGAAACTTTTCAAGAAGCTGGGTGTGCGTCGAAGTAAAAAAGATAATATTCATCTGTAGGGTTGCCACCTTTTATGTGAAAAAAAGGAGGCAACTGGTTTGTTTTTACTTGATATCACATTATTCACAGCACTTTGAGGACATAACATGAACGGGACGATCCTGTATTATACAGGATGGGTGGCCAGGTGGCAGGTGACCAGTGGCATTCACCTGTTTGAAGAGCCGCAAAATCAGGTCGCCGCACAAGACACACTACACTACCACAAAGACACACTACACTACCACAAAGAGACACTACACTACCACAAAGACACACTACACTACCACAAAGAGACACTACCACAAAGACACACTACACTACCACAAAGACACACTACAACAAGACACATTACACTACAACAAAGACACACTAAAACAAAGACACACTACACTACCACAAAGAGACACTAAACTACCACAAAGACACACTACCACAAAGACACACTACACTACCACAAAGAGACACTAAACTACAACAAAGACACACTATGCTACAACAAAGAGACACTAAACTACAACAAAGACACACTACCACAAAGACACACTACACTACCACAAAGAGACACTAAACTACAACAAAGACACACTACACTACCACAAAGAGACACTAAACTACAACAAAGACACACTACCACAAAGACACACTACACTACCACAAAGACACACTACAACAAGACACATTACACTACAACAAAGACACACTAAAACAAAGACACACTACACTACCACAAAGAGACACTAAACTACCACAAAGACACACTACCACAAAGACACACTACACTACCACAAAGAGACACTAAACTACAACAAAGACACACTACACTACCACAAAGAGACACTAAACTACAACAAAGACACACTACACTACCACAAAGAGACACTAAACTACAACAAAGACACACTACCACAAAGACACACTACACTACCACAAAGAGAAACTAAACTACAACAAAGACACACTACCACAAAGACACACTACCACAAAGAGACACTAAACTACAACAAAGACACGCTACACTACCACAAAGAGACACTAGACTACAACAAAGACACACTACCACAAAGACACACTACACTACCACAAAGAGACGCTAAACTATAACAAAGACACACTACCACAAAGACACACTACACTACCACAAAGAGACACTAAACTACAACAAAGACACACTACGCAACCACAAAGAGACACTAAACTACAACAAAGACACGCTACACTACCACAAAGAGACACTAGACTACAACAAAGACACACTACCACAAAGACACACTACACTACCACAAAGAGACACTAAACTACAACAAAGACACACTACGCTACCACAAAGAGACACTAAACTACAACAAAGACACACTACAATATTGGCAACTGGTTTATTTTTACTTGATATCACATTAGTCACAGCACTTTGAGGACATAACATAAACGGGACGATCCCGTATTATACAGGATGGGTGGCCAGGTGGCAGGTGACCAGTGGCATTCACCTGTTTGAAGAGCCGCAAAATCAGGTCGCCATCTCCTTCCGCAGGCAGAAAATCCAGCGCATTCGTATTCCTCTTCTTTGGCAATTTCAGATGGCTCTGTCTGATGCACGGATTACGATACAGCGCCACTACATTGCCGTAGTGGCGTACAGCCGTAATTGTGGTTACAAATGTCAAATCCACCAAGTACCAAGAAAACAACTACTAGAATTTTGTCAGGAGGCGGACGCTGCACGACATTTGACGGAGGCGGCCGCCTCCCAATTCTCTAAGCAGAAAAAACCCTGATTGTTGGGGACTGGGATAGGGAAAGAACTGAAACAGTGTGTATTCAAAACTTGTCCAAAACATTCAGTTAATTCCAAACCATTTCCAGACCTCGAAAACAGGTTTTCTAATTTCATAACTTTTCCAGGAATTTCATGACTGTGGGAACCCTGATGGTTATGAATGATTAATTTCAGCACTGATTGATTGATCGGTTGATTGATTCTGAACTCGACTCCATTAGACAGAGGTGGAAGTTTGTTGTTTGTTTTCAGACCTTCTCTGTCTATGCATCTTAGAGTTGAGTACAGTTAAAACCCAGTTTTATATTTGTTGAGGTGCAGATCAGTTGTTACTGCAGATCAGACTCTGGAGGGAAAAGGTTTTAAATGTCAGGACTCTGTGACTCCAGCAGTTTGACTTTGTGCTGCTGACTGGACTGAACTCATGCAGACATATGATGCTGGAAACACTTTATGTCTTCTTCTCATTAACTGCTGTTCTTCATGCTTTAAAGCATGTTGCCCCTCTGGCCCCTCCCCTTTCAGTGATGTCACACAGGAGTCATGAATTGATAGATGTCCTCAGGTGTGTGCTGTTTCCTCAGGTGTGTGTTGTGTCCTCAGGTGTGTGTTGTGTCCTCAGGTGTGTGTTGTGTCCTCAGGTGTGTGGTGTGATCTCAGGTGTGTGTTGTGTCCTCAGGTGTGTGGTGTGATCTCAGGTGTGTGGTGTGTCCTCAGGTGTGTGTTGTGTCCTCAGGTGTGTGTTGTGTCCTCAGGTGTGTGTTGTGTCCTCAGGTGTGTGGTGTGATCTCAGGTGTGTGTTGTGTCCTCAGGTGTGTGGTGTGATCTCAGGTGTGTGGTGTGATCTCAGGTGTGTGTTGTGTCCTCAGGTGTGTGTTGTGTTCTCAGGTGTGTGGTGTGTCCTCAGGTGTGTGGTGTGCTCTCAGGTGTGTGGTGTGTCCTCAGGTGTGTGTTGTGTCCTCAGGTGTGTGTTGTGTCCTCAGGTGTGTGTTGTGTCCTCAGGTGTGTGGTGTGATCTCAGGTGTGTGGTGTGTCCTCAGGTGTGTGTTGTGTCCTCAGGTGTGTGGTGTGTCCTCAGGTGTGTGTTGTGTCCTCAGGTGTGTGGTGTGATCTCAGGTGTGTGGTGTGATCTCAGGTGTGTGGTGTGTCCTCAGGTGTGTGTTGTGTCCTCAGGTGTGTGTTGTGTCCTCAGGTGTGTGGTGTGATCTCAGGTGTGTGTTGTGTCCTCAGGTGTGTGGTGTGATCTCAGGTGTGTGGTGTGTCCTCAGGTGTGTGGTGTGATCTCAGGTGTGTGGTGTGTCCTCAGGTGTGTCCCATATTTACCTCCATGATGTGGTGCAGGTGCAATGACGATGCCCCTGGTGTCCACTTTTGGTGAGTTCTGTCCGTACGTCCCGTCGTCGCTGCTCATCGTGTGGACGGTGTTTCCTCGTCCGTCCAGCACCGTGGCGTTCACCGTGGCGCCAACATACTCCTCCGACACCATGTTCCTGTCAGAGCGAGCCGCCGACACAGAGCCTGTTAGGACCAGGGCCTGGAGCAGGACTAGGACTGGGACCGACGAGACAGGGAGACAGGTCCACTTCAGGGATGTCATGTCGTCCCCTCAGTCGTCTTCACATTCAAACTGTCAGGAAACAAAAATAAATCTTTTAGACCAGAACAAGTCCAACAACAACCACATCCTGGAATGGACTGGAGTCCAGATGGCTCCTGTATCTCATCTCTATGTCTTCATGTTTCTTTGTCTTTCAATATGTCCGTGTTTATTTATGTCTTGATGTCTGTTTTTGTGTCCTCTGTCCTTGTCTTTTCTGTCTGTCATAGATCTGAAGATTTCTTTATATTCAAATGTCACTTTTAGGTTCCTATTGTCCTCCAGTTTCTTTATGTACAAATGTCCTTTGTCCGTAGATGTCCTTCTATCCTCTGTCTCCCTATGTTCTGAAAATATTTTAATTAGTTTGTCCTCAAAGTCAGTTTTACTTTCTTTTATGTCCTTATCGTAATATCTCTTTATGCCCAGTAAATGTCTTAATGTGTCTTTTTATCCTGTCTCTATTTTATGTCTTTATGTACACCACACAGTTTGTTTCCAGTTACATCAAATCCCTGTGTCATATCTTTGTGTCCATTTAACGTCTTTTTATGTCCTCCACATGCTTCTTCAAGTGTCTGAATTTCATGTCAGTTCATCTTTGTTTTTTCTCTTAACATCTTCAATAAAGATTTTATGTCTCTGTCCTCTTTGTCTTTCAGTGGTTCATTTGTTTATATTTACTAAATGTCTTATTTTTGATGTACTCCAGTTACATCAAATGTCCTCTTTGACATTACCTTTGGGTCTCTTTGTCTTCCAATATTTCAATGTCAATTTGTCCTCAGAGTTATAATGTCTGTTTAAGTCCTCTTGTCTTTTGTTTTATTTCTTCACGTCCACCAGATTTTAAAATGACCCTAACCCACCTGAAAATGTCCAGTTTTGTCCCTGACTGTCCTTAATATTTTTTCATTTGTGATGCTTATGTCCACAAACATGTCCTATGTCTCTTTGTCCTTTTTGTCTTTAGGCATCTTTAGATGTTCTTATGTTTTAATGTCCTACAGGTTCTTTACCTTATAACGTCCTGTTCTGTCCCTCAGTGTCTTCTCTATGTCCCCCAGAGGCTTTATTTATGTCTTTGAATGTCCTCCTCAGACCCTGTTTATGTCCCAGCATGTGTTTCCTGTCGTCGTTACGACCCTGGGTTCAGACTGTCAGGTGGAGGACAGACCGTGTGAGGACATCAGGACAGTGTCAGAACATGGAGCATCATCAGCAGGCCAACATCTGGACCTTCACACCGTCATGTCTTCAGTCCGGATCTGCGCGTGAAATTGAACGTCACGTTCAGATTTTCGTTGAATCGTAGCTGGTTTGAAGCCGCAGTGAATCCGGAGCCATGACTCAGTGTTTAATCGCCGTTTGAAAGCGGCGCTGGCAGCAGCTTCTCCCCGCTTTGTTTCACCGTCTGCAAGCGGACAGACAGGCAGGCTCCTGGTCCGCCAACCCCCCCTCTCCCGCCGCCCTCTCTCCCGCTGAATGTCCGGCGGGAATCGGTGGGTTCTCGGCGGTAAATCTTGCTGCTGGTCGGTGGTTATTCCGGTTTTGCTCCCGGTGGTCGCAGACGGTGCAGAGGCTAGAGCCCCGTCTCTCGGTCTCTCAGTTTGGGGCGCACTGCGCATGCTCAGAGCCACGACACGGGGAGGCGGTAGACAGGGCGCGTGTGATACCTTCCTGGTTAGGTAGCCGAGATTTAAACCAAGTGTCGCGATACCTGCAGAAAGAGACTGTCCACCTGTGTGTCTCTGTCCACCTGTCTGTCTCTCTGTGTGTAGTATGGGATCAATAGTTTAATTATTGCTTTATTTACCAGAAACAGTGACAGTTAATCTGTTGTTTATTAACCAACAATATTTAAAAAACATTAAATATACAAAGAAATGATTTCTACAACCTCAATATGTTCAGTGTTTGCAGAGAATGGATTAATTAAAGGATTTATTAATTGATTTATTAATGGTTAATAAATGATTCACTGATGCTTCATAGATCAGTCATAACACATTCATAAGGACAGACTGAACATCTGAAGAGTCTGTGGCAGAAAGGGCATATACAAACAAAGAGTGGAAAAGCCCTTTACCCCCCAGAAGGAAAGGAAATGGAAGAGAGGTAGGTAGAAGAGGAGGTCAATGAGACACACCTGTGAGCCGGGGGAGGGGAAAGAGTCTGACAAAGAGCAGCATGGAGGAGAGCAGAGAGGAGTGAGAGTGAAAAGGAGGAGATAACTTTAAAAAAAAAACTTAATCCAGTTTCTGGACAATCTACCGAACCTCTTAAAGAAAACAGGGAACTACATAAAAGTAAAAAGAGTGGCAGCAGTACCAAGGAACCGGTGACCTTTGATTGTTTGGACTATGCTTTGGTTCCAATAACATTTAATTCATGAAGATGCTTTGGTAAATGGTGTTTATTTCTCTCATGTGGCATGTATGTAGGGTAATAGGCTAACTGGGTTATCTTGCTAAGTTACTTATACCTTTTATTTTCTAAAAAATGACAGGATTGGGATAGTTTTATTATTCTCCTGTCTGGCGAACAACACTTTCAGTAACTATTTCATTCCCCTACGCTACAAGTCTCTACAGAGACTCTGACCTCTAGAAAACAGCTACAGCACATCTGGACCGAGATCCATTAATACACTGATCATTAACAGCATTAAGACAGTTAATGAAGACAGAGTCTGACTTTTGATCAGTTTGATTAAAGACTCACATCAGTGTTTAAATCATTTCTAATATGATCCATCAGGTCTGCAGCTATATATGTTAATGACCAGTTTCCAAAGGGATTTTGGTTCAGATGATCTGCTGTTGTTTATCAGAGGATCTGGTGGTCAAATTAGTTAGTGATGTGTTTACCAGTAACTAACTGGTCTCCTGCAGCTGCTGGTTGTGCTGACAGTCTGATGGCTGGGATAAAGTTTGATGTCAACATGAAAACATTAGGGGAGTGTGAGGAGCACAGAGGTGGAGGAGCAGGAGGTGAAGACTGGTCAGGACTGACACCTGGTGGACTCAGTCTGTAACTGCAGCTCCAGGTTCACTCAGTTTCACTGTCCCACCACTCATCCATCACTAACAGAAGAGACTAAGAGGAGCAGACTGCAATCCTTGTTGACATTTAATAGAGCTGTGGCAGAGCGTCTCCACACGACACAACTGTCATTGGTCTGATCCAGAATCTGCATCTGGACAGAACATCTATCAGACCATCAGTCAGGACCTGCGTGTTTTCATGTGTTTTTACTTTCTGTCGTTGTTGTCATGGCGACAGCAGCAGTCGCACAGTTGATTTACTGCAGAACAATAACGGCACAGATGTTTCTGTGTTTCAGGAACAGGAAACCTGCTTATCAACTGCTGTGCAGACAGGAAGCCGCAGAGACAGAAATATTTTCTCCCTGCGGTCGAACCTCCTGTCTTCAAAATCACTCGATCTTTAATATTCTCTCTATCCCTCGATCCTCCAGTAGCTCATTCTCCAAAATGAATGAATGACTTAATATGTCATGTCATGACGGTCAGTAAAATGTTAATGCAGCTTTGTGTTTCTTGTCCAGTGGAACTAGAACTGAACCTCATCTATACATCACACAAATTAATGTAAATGTATGTACTCAAGCAAACAACAACAACGACTACTACAATCAACTACAATCAACTACAAACCACTACAAACAACTTCAATAAACTACAATAAACTACACACAGCTAAGCATTTTATGTCTCTTTGTAGTTGTTTTGTCTCTCTGTAGTTGTTTTATGTCTCTTTGTAGTTTTCCTACCTCTGTTGGTGGTTGTGTCACATCTTGCTCCTCTGTATAGAAGCTGGGGGGGGGGGGGGGGGGGGTCTCTCATGTCTTTGACCTGAGCCAGTTTCACCAAGTTTCTAGTTACTGATGCTGAGCTGTGACTGACAGTCAGTGTTCAGGGGCGGAGTTTAGTGACATACAGGTCAATCACATTTCCTGTTTGATGAAGCCAAGCACAATATATAAACATTTCCATCAGTCTGAATCACAGCATGGGAGGAAAAAACATAAACACAATGGGACTTGTATACTTGTGAGGACACACTGCATTCCTGAACACCTGTTTCTAACCTTTAAAACCATCACATTAAATATCTAGCTCTGACCTGACCCTGACCTGATCCTAAAACTGACATTTAAGGAAGTAAAAACCAGGCACAGACTCTGCTGAGGGCTAATGTTCTGGTCCTCACAAAGATAGACACACTAGGCTCATACACTCACAGCCAGCACTTCTGCTGTAAAACCACAGGACTGACAGAGGAGGAAGAAGAGGACTGCCACCACCGCTGCATCAGATAGACTCGGACCAGAAGAAGAAAAGGAGACAGAGGAAGATGAGGGTGTTTTTTGGGACTCTGGTCTTCGTCTCTCTGCTGTGGTCAGTCTGCAGCGTCTCTCCCTCTTCTCGACCTGCAGAGGAATGCTCCGGCATGTCCGTCCGTAAGTTTTCTTCTCTTCCTCAAGTGAACACATGGACAGGTAGAGACAGGTCCGACGCCCAGCGGGGTCACATCAGGATCAGGTGTTTTTATTAGTCGTTGTCTGAGACAGATTTCAACAGTCAGATTCAGGTGTGTATGTTCCCATTTCTCTGTCTTTGTGAGGACCCTGGTAACTTTTAGTCCCTGAAACAAGAGACGTTCTATCAAAGAGAGAACGTTTTTATTAAAGAGAGAACGTTCCTTTAAAGATGGAACATTTTATTAAAGACAGAACATTTTACTAAAGAGAGAATGTTCTATTAAACACAGAACGTTCTATTGAAGAGAAAATGTTTTATTGAATTGAGAACTTTTTATTAAATTTTATTGAATGGACCACTTTAGTGTGTTCCGGTCTCTGCAGGTCTAAAGACAGTCTGTGTGTTCTGGTCTCTGCAGGTCTAAGGACAGTCTGACATGGGTTCTGGTCTCTGCAGGTCTAAAGAGAGTCTGACATGTGTTCTGGTCTCTGCAGGTCTAAGGACAGTCTGACATGGGTTCTGGTCTCTGCAGGTCTAAAGAGAGTCTGACATGTGTTCTGGTCTCTGCAGGTCTAAGGACAGTCTGACATGGGTTCTGGTCTCTGCAGGTCTAAAGAGAGTCTGACATGTGTTCTGGTCTCTGCAGGTCTAAGGACAGTCTGACATGGGTTCTGGTCTCTGCAGGTCTAAAGAGAGTCTGACATGTGTTCTGGTCTCTGCAGGTCTAAGGACAGTCTGACATGGGTTCTGGTCTCTGCAGGTCTAAAGAGAGTCTGACATGTGTTCTGGTCTCTGCAGGTCTAAGGACAGTCTGACATGGGTTCTGGTCTCTGCAGGTCTAAAGAGAGTCTGACATGTGTTCTGGTCTCTGCAGGTCTAAGGACAGTCTGACATGGGTTCTGGTCTCTGCAGGTCTAAAGAGAGTCTGACATGTGTTCTGGTCTCTGCAGGTCTAAGGACAGTCTGACATGGGTTCTGGTCTCTGCAGGTCTAAAGAGAGTCTGACATGTGTTCTGGTCTCTGCAGGTCTAAGGACAGTCTGACATGGGTTCTGGTCTCTGCAGGTCTAAAGAGAGTCTGACATGTGTTCTGGTCTCTGCAGGTCTAAGGACAGTCTGACATGGGTTCTGGTCTCTGCAGGTCTAAAGAGAGTCTGACATGTGTTCTGGTCTCTGCAGGTCTAAGGACAGTCTGACATGGGTTCTGGTCTCTGCAGGTCTAAAGAGAGTCTGACATGTGTTCTGGTCTCTGCAGGTCTAAGGACAGTCTGACATGGGTTCTGGTCTCTGCAGGTCTAAAGAGAGTCTGACATGTGTTCTGGTCTCTGCAGGTCTAAGGACAGTCTGACATGGGTTCTGGTCTCTGCAGGTCTAAAGAGAGTCTGACATGTGTTCTGGTCTCTGCAGGTCTAAGGACAGTCTGACATGGGTTCTGGTCTCTGCAGGTCTAAAGAGAGTCTGACATGTGTTCTGGTCTCTGCAGGTCTAAGGACAGTCTGACATGGGTTCTGGTCTCTGCAGGTCTAAAGAGAGTCTGACATGTGTTCTGGTCTCTGCAGGTCTAAGGACAGTCTGACATGGGTTCTGGTCTCTGCAGGTCTAAAGAGAGTCTGACATGTGTTCTGGTCTCTGCAGGTCTAAGGACAGTCTGACATGGGTTCTGGTCTCTGCAGGTCTAAAGAGAGTCTGACATGTGTTCTGGTCTCTGCAGGTCTAAGGACAGTCTGACATGGGTTCTGGTCTCTGCAGGTCTAAAGAGAGTCTGACATGTGTTCTGGTCTCTGCAGGTCTAAGGACAGTCTGACATGGGTTCTGGTCTCTGCAGGTCTAAAGAGAGTCTGACATGTGTTCTGGTCTCTGCAGGTCTAAGGACAGTCTGACATGGGTTCTGGTCTCTGCAGGTCTAAAGAGAGTCTGACATGTGTTCTGGTCTCTGCAGGTCTAAGGACAGTCTGACATGGGTTCTGGTCTCTGCAGGTCTAAAGAGAGTCTGACATGTGTTCTGGTCTCTGCAGGTCTAAGGACAGTCTGACATGGGTTCTGGTCTCTGCAGGTCTAAAGAGAGTCTGACATGTGTTCTGGTCTCTGCAGGTCTAAGGACAGTCTGTGTGTTCTGGTCTCTGCAGGTCTAAGGACAGACTGACATTTGTTCTGGTCTCTGCAGGTCTAAAGACAGTCTGTGTGTTCTGGTCTCCGCAGGTCTAAAGACAGTCTGACATGTGTTCTGGTCTCTGCAGGGCTAAAGACAGTCTGTGTGTTCTGGTCTCCGCAGGTCTAAAGACAGTCTGACATGTGTTCTGGTCTCTGCAGGGCTAAAGACAGTCTGTGTGTTCTGGTCTCCGCAGGTCTAAAGACAGTCTGACATGTGTTCTGGTCTCTGCAGGGCTAAAGACAGTCTGTGTGTTCTGGTCTCCGCAGGTCTAAAGACAGTCTGACATGTGTTCTGGTCTCTGCAGGGCTAAAGACAGTCTGTGTGTTCTGGTCTCCGCAGGTCTAAAGACAGTCTGACATGTGTTCTGGTCTCTGCAGGGCTAAAGACAGTCTGTGTGTTCTGGTCTCCGCAGGTCTAAAGACAGTCTGACATGTGTTCTGGTCTCTGCAGGGCTAAAGACAGTCTGTGTGTTCTGGTCTCCGCAGGTCTAAAGACAGTCTGACATGTGTTCTGGTCTCTGCAGGGCTAAAGACAGTCTGTGTGTTCTGGTCTCCGCAGGTCTAAAGACAGTCTGACATGTGTTCTGGTCTCTGCAGGGCTAAAGACAGTCTGTGTGTTCTGGTCTCCGCAGGTCTAAAGACAGTCTGACATGTGTTCTGGTCTCTGCAGGGCTAAAGACAGTCTGTGTGTTCTGGTCTCCGCAGGTCTAAAGACAGTCTGACATGTGTTCTGGTCTCTGCAGGGCTAAAGACAGTCTGTGTGTTCTGGTCTCCGCAGGTCTAAAGACAGTCTGACATGTGTTCTGGTCTCTGCAGGGCTAAAGACAGTCTGTGTGTTCTGGTCTCCGCAGGTCTAAAGACAGTCTGACATGTGTTCTGGTCTCTGCAGGGCTAAAGACAGTCTGTGTGTTCTGGTCTCCGCAGGTCTAAAGACAGTCTGACATGTGTTCTGGTCTCTGCAGGGCTAAAGACAGTCTGTGTGTTCTGGTCTCCGCAGGTCTAAAGACAGTCTGACATGTGTTCTGGTCTCTGCAGGGCTAAAGACAGTCTGTGTGTTCTGGTCTCCGCAGGTCTAAAGACAGTCTGACATGTGTTCTGGTCTCTGCAGGGCTAAAGACAGTCTGTGTGTTCTGGTCTCCGCAGGTCTAAAGACAGTCTGACATGTGTTCTGGTCTCTGCAGGGCTAAAGACAGTCTGTGTGTTCTGGTCTCCGCAGGTCTAAAGACAGTCTGACATGTGTTCTGGTCTCTGCAGGGCTAAAGACAGTCTGTGTGTTCTGGTCTCCGCAGGTCTAAAGACAGTCTGACATGTGTTCTGGTCTCTGCAGGGCTAAAGACAGTCTGTGTGTTCTGGTCTCCGCAGGTCTAAAGACAGTCTGACATGTGTTCTGGTCTCTGCAGGGCTAAAGACAGTCTGTGTGTTCTGGTCTCCGCAGGTCTAAAGACAGTCTGACATGTGTTCTGGTCTCTGCAGGGCTAAAGACAGTCTGTGTGTTCTGGTCTCCGCAGGTCTAAAGACAGTCTGACATGTGTTCTGGTCTCTGCAGGGCTAAAGACAGTCTGTGTGTTCTGGTCTCCGCAGGTCTAAAGACAGTCTGACATGTGTTCTGGTCTCTGCAGGGCTAAAGACAGTCTGTGTGTTCTGGTCTCCGCAGGTCTAAAGACAGTCTGACATGTGTTCTGGTCTCTGCAGGGCTAAAGACAGTCTGTGTGTTCTGGTCTCCGCAGGTCTAAAGACAGTCTGACATGTGTTCTGGTCTCTGCAGGGCTAAAGACAGTCTGTGTGTTCTGGTCTCTGCAGGTCTAAGGACAGACTGACGTGTTGTGGTCTCTGCAGGTCTAAAGACAGTCTGACATGTGTTCTGGTCTCTGCAGGTCTAAAGACAGTCTGACATGTGTTCTGGTCTCTGCAGGTCTGCGGGCCTTCAAGCTGATGACCACCTGCAACTTCACCACTCTGAAGGAGAAGCAGCTGAAGGAGATCCAGGCTCCGACCACAAATCTGTACCTGCCGGTCCTGTACCTGCTAGCCTTCATCGTAGGTCTGCCCTCCAACCTGCTGGCTCTGTGGATTTTGGTGTTCAGGACCAAACCGCTGCCGTCCACCACGCTGCTCATCAACCTGACGGCTGCCGACTGCCTGCTGCTGCTGGTGCTGCCGTTCCGTATCGTGTACCACTTCAGGGGGAACCACTGGGAGCTGGGAGAAGCTTTCTGCCGCGTTGTCATGGCCGTGTTTTATGGCAACATGTACGGGTCTGTGTTGTGTCTGGCACTTGTGGCTCTGGACCGATACATCGCTTTGGTTCACCCATTTGGCGCCAAGACACTGCGCAGCCAGCGGATGTCCCTGTACATGACAGCGGTGGTGTGGACGGTGGTGCTGGCCGCCATGCTGCCACTGCTGGTGTCGCAGCAGACCTACGTGCTGGACGAGCTGCAGATCACCACCTGCCATGACGCGCTGCCTGAGGAGGAGCAGGAGAACTACTTCCTACCGTATTTCGCCACCTTGTTCTCCGTCTGCTTCCTGCTGCCTTTCGCGGTTGTCCTGTTCTGCCATTGCGCTGTGCTGCACACCCTACTGGCCGAGGGGAAACGCTACAGTCACGCCATCTGGGTCACGGTGCTGGTCCTGCTGGTCTTCATCGGATGTCTGCTGCCCAGCAACGTCCTCCTCCTACTCACCTACGCCGACAACTTGGTGGACGGAGATGGCGAGGACTTTTATGTCCCCTACATGGTTAGCTTAGCGGTTAGCACCTTCAACAGCTGCATTGACCCCTTCATCTTCTATTACGTGTCGGTGGAGTTCAGAGAGAAGGCCAGGAGCGCTCTGTGCTGTCACAGCATCTCTGGAGACAGATCGTCCTCTCTGGGGAACAATGTGTCCTACTCCTGCTCATCATCAGGCCTGAGGTCAAAGGTCACCCTGCTGTCTCACTCCAGTCAGAGGACGTCAGAGACAGTGTGAGGAGGCATCAGACCTGCAGGTGTTTCTCACTCTGAGTCCATCTGAATCATCATCAGTCCTGTCCACATTCAGGAGACCTGAAGATGTCTCACACCATTTATTTTTATCAGGACCCTTTAGACGAGTATCCCAGCATGCATTTCACACCAACCAGCGGTGATGTTGAGTCACACTCAATTGTTTTCATTTCTCACATCATCAGTTCATTACAATAAATTCACTGTGATGTTTTTCTCCTGAGATGAACTTTCAGTCAGAGTCCATGGTCATCTTCCTGTAGAGAACAACGGCATCAAAGATGTTTGTGTTACGTTCCTGATGGACCTTGATTAGCATTTCACAAAGTAACTCTAACAGGCAGATCTCATGAATGAATCAGATCAAGGATCAACATGAAGGAGCAAAAGACAAACCTCTTGTTTCCACGGTTACACATACATTAAAACATAGTCAAGAAACATGAAATGTCAAACAGCTCATCTGGTCACAGTATGCCCACTCACATTTCTGTATTTTCTTTTTCATTTTTACTTAAATAACACACACTGTGGGAAGTGAGGTCACAACTGCTGAGCTGAAGAGCAGCAGGACCACAGGTGCATTAACTGGACAGGTGAAACAGGTGCCTTGAGTGTTCTTTGTTCTATGTCCTTGATACCTTTGTTCCTGAGTGTTTCAGTGAGTCGTTAATTTCATTGTTTGTTTATGTTGTTGTTCAGTAGAACATCTGATCTCTTTGTTTGTTCTCACATGATTATATATTTCATAATATGATGAATTTGACTTTCTGCTTCCTAATGCTCTCATCTGTAACCACTCACACCTGACTGACTGCAGCAAAGATTAAATACTTCCAAATGGAACCTGCTGACTGCTTCTCCTGCTTTGCTCATATTCATTAAGTCCAATAATCCTAGAACACATACAGCGGGGAAAAGAAATATTGAACGCGTCAACATTTTTCTCAGTAAATTTATTTCTGATGGGGCTATTGACACGAAATTGTCACCAGATGTCGGTAACAACCTGAGTCATCCACACATACAAAGAAATCAAAACATATATGTCCATAAATTAAGTTATGTGTAATAAAGTGAAATGACACAGGGAATAAGTATTGAACACATGAAGAAAAGGAGGTGCAAAAAGGCATGGAAAGCCAAGAAATCAGCTGAAATCTGTCAGTATTTAGAAAGCTATCCTGCCCCCTATCAGTGCAAATTAATATCAGCTGGTTTAGTCCTAATTGATGGCCTATAAAAAGATTTCTCATTACCAAGGTGTCACACAATGGGCATCTCATGATGGGTAAAAGCAAAGAGCTCTCGCAAGACCTTTGCAACCTTATTGTTGCAAAACATACTGATGGCATTGGTTACAGACATATTTCTAAACTTCTGAATGTTCCAGTGAGCACCGTTGGGGCCATTATCTGGAAGTGGAAAGAACATCATTTCACCATAAACCGGCCACAACCAGGTGCTCTTCGCAAGGTTTCTGACAGAGGAGACAAAAGAATAACCAGAAGAGTTTCCAAGAGCCAAGGACCACTCGCAGAGAGCTTCAGAAAGACCTGGAATTAGCAGGTACAGTTGTTTCAAAGAAAACAATAAGTAATGCACTCAACCACCATGGCCTCTATACACACTCACCGCGCAAGACTCCATTGTTGAAGAAAAAGCACATTGAAGCTTTCAGCCGCTCTGCTCCCCAACTCTGGAACTCTCTCCCACCAGACACCCATAACATTGTTTCTTTACCCCAGTTCAAATCAAGACTCAAAACTCATCTGTTTCAATCTGCATGTTCGCTATAATGCCATCAGTATGTTTTGCAACAATAAGGTTGCAAAGGTCTTGCGAGAGCTCTTTGCTTTTACCCATCATGAGATGCCCATTGTGTGACACCTTGGTAATGAGAAATCTTTTTATAGGCCATCAATTAGGACTCAACCAGCTGATATTAATTTGCACTGATAGGGGGCAGGATAGCTTTCTAAATACTGACAGATTTCAGCTGATTTCTTGGCTTTCCATGCCTTTTTGCACCTCCTTTTCTTCATGTGTTCAATACTTAGTCCCTGTGTCATTTCACTTTATTACACATAACTTAATTTATGGACATATATGTTTTGATTTCTTTGTATGTGTGGATGACTCAGGTTGTTACCGACATCTGGTGACAATTTCATGTCAATAGACCCATTAGAAATACTGTATATTTACTGAGAAAAATGTTGACACATTCAATACTTATTTTCCCCGCTGTACATGTGGGTCTGTCACCAGAACTGGTTCTTCAGGACCAAATTGAATTCTGAAAATGTGACGGTAGTTGTTTTTCTACAGAACCATGAGTACTGAAGGAACCGTAGATGTGGTAGGTACTGGAGGTGTGACTCCTGCAGGACTAACGAGGGCAGTATAATAACCCTACAGGAGCTCTAGTCTGTAATGGGTTTCCTCCGCAGGGGGTCTTGACTCAGCTGTAGAGTCACTGCTCCTTCATGTCTAAAGGAGCCAGTTGAGATGGTTCTGGTTAGGATCCTCCTGGGCGCCTTCCTTTACAGGTTATCTGAGCATGTCCAATTGAGAGAAGGCCCAGAACTCACAAGAGGGATCATATATCCCATCTGGTCTGGGGATGCCACAGGATCCAGTAGGAGCTGGAAAATGTTGCTGGGGAGAGGGAGGTCTGGAATACCCTGCTTAGCCTGCTGCCACTGAGACCTGACTTCGGATAAGAGGAAGATGGATGGATGGATGGATGGATGGGTGGATGAACCTTTTACCTTTAACATTCCTTTACTTCTAGTTTGTGGATTTAGTTTCAGGCTTAGTTGTGGGTTGTTGGACTCAGGCTACTAGTCAGACCACACTTTAGCCAGATCTCTCGACCCAGACTTTGTCAGAGTCATATGAATAACAACATAAGAAAAATAAACAAATGCAATTACTTTTGATATGGATGAAAGAAAACATGATGGCTGCAGTGAACCGATTCCGGGCTCTGTGTACAGTCCAAGGTCAGTCAGTAACATCTCCTAATCCAGATCAATCAAACCCAGACCTCAGTACAGCAGGAAACTCCACCCAGGCTTTTATATCCTGTTTACACAGACTGGTACCAAAGGTGAGTCTGACAGTGACGCAGGTCTTAGGTTTACTTTCTTGTCAGAGATCCTATTTTATTGGGGAGAAGACTCAATTGCATGGCAAAAGAACTGAACAGAACATTAGCAGAGATTGTTATTGTTTGTTTGGTGAGAGGAGTTACTCAGCACTGAATAAACTGAACTGAAAAGTGATTTTTTTTATTGAACCCAGACAGAAAAAGTCATACGTACTTTACATAAAGCACTTTTCACTGTGATTCATTCAACTTCTCTGGTGTTAGACAGAGAACTAAATAACTTGTATGTGATTAGAAAAAAAACATGTAAAATCTGCTTTTGGAAAGAAACCATAAACGGGGGGGGGGGGACGACGACCCACCACCACCACCACCACCATCTACAAAACATCCTAATTCAACAGTTTGTTTATAGCTGCACAGTGGCAGACCAGAATTTTCAACTTCTTTAGTAAAGTACTGTTGGTAGCTGATGCTAATGCTAACTCTAATGTAGTAAATGGTTCACTCATTAACAGTTGTGATGTGGTTTTGCCTTTTTCAGATATATTGAAGAATCTTCAACCTAGAACCAGGACTAAAGTCTGAACCAGCACCGAGAGAAGGTGGAGACATGTCCTCACAAAGAAATATAAATCAATAAACCAATAAACAGATGATCTGAACCAAAATAAATTTTAATTTCATCCTTCATGAAACCTTCCAGAACAATCAGGAGACAAACAGCTTGTAGGATAATGTACAACAGATGTCTGATCCAGTGTTAGAGGAAGACTGGGACCAGTCAGACTGTATTATGGGAGGACTGGTCCTGTCTCAGTGGTTTTGGTGAGGACACGTCACAGTTTAAAACATTAATGGTTTTAAAATAAATTAAACATGAATAAATCCAGTGAATCAACAGTTAAACTGCTGCAGTGTTAAACACAGAGACAGTGTCCGTCCAGTTACCATCAAACACATTCATGTTTTCATTCAAACTCCTCCCATTAAAACCAAAGGAACTGGTTTCTCTGCACAGGAACATTGAGCTTATGTCATCAACAGCTACAGAGTTTATACAGATATGTATGTTATGACTGATATGACTTTAACTGGTATCTTTATATAAAGTTTAAAAATATGATCAGAATCAGGATCAGGGTCAGGGTCAGGGTCAGGATCAGGATCAGAACCGATGATGAAACAAAGCAACAACAGTTCACTTAAGGAGACCGGCAGAGATCAGTCCACCTGAGTCCAGTCTAATCCAGCTCACTCCCTCACCAACAGAACCAACAACTGTGAGTCAGGTGACCTCTCAGCCAATCACAGTGTCCTCTGCCTTGAGACCTGCCCCATTGAGTCAGACAGCAGGAACTGCAGACAGTGACAATAAGAGCAGGACTTAAAACAAACTGGAGTCTAGCTGTGGTCCAGACCCCCCCACCCCCCCACCCCCCTGGACCCAGACTTTGTAAGTTCTCAGACATCATACGGCCTCTCCTCCTCCTCCTCGTCCTCCTCTTCCTCAGTGTTCTTGGTGAAAGCAGACGACAGCTCCTGCAGCAGGAGTTCCTGTGACAGTGTACAGACTCCCTGCAGCTGCTGCCTCCTCACTGCTGGCTGATGGGGGGCGTTCAAGTCCGGAGAGCCCCAGTCTGTTTCTCCGTCACCTCCTCCACCTCCACTGCTGCTGCTGTGCTCCAGAGTCTCCAGAGAGCCTCCCACGGTCCGAACCCGGTCGGGGACAATTGTGGGATCCAGATGTTCGGTTTCCATGGAAACTAGTCTGAGCCGCGGGTGGTCTGGGACCTCCTGGGTCTCTGCAGCACTGCTGGACAGGAAGCTGGTCTCCAGAGATTTCAGGACCTGCAGGCCGAAGTCTCCGACCTCCTCATAGAGCGGCTCAGGGAGGTCTGGAGACTCTGAACGCTCCTCGAAGGAGTCCGGCTGCACCTTCATGGGCTGCAGACACAGAGACAATGAAGACCACATTAGACCTACACAAAACCACCTCATCTCAACTTCTACAAAATAAAAGCACAAAGTTCTAACTAGTCAAACAAGCAAATAAAACAAGAACAAAATACTCACAAAGTACATGGAGAGAGTTCGTCTGTCATGTAACTTCCTCTTCAGAGACAAGAAAATACAAAAGTCTGATGAGTTATTGTAAAGATGACAACATAAGAGTTCAGTGTGGACGGCATAAACTGACTCCATTAAAACGTGTCGGACTGTGTTTATAACCTGTATAGTCATGGAACTGTTGTTTTAAACTGATGAAATAATAGAAGTTGAACACAGTGATGAATATTTACTTATTTACTGAACATTTTCATCAGTTTTGGACTAAGAGTCTCACCAGCGTCTGATTGGCTGACAGCATGCTGCTGTTGCTCTCGTCTCCTCTGATGGGGACGAGTGGCATCGTGCCGAACTTCTGTTTGGAGATATCTGACGAGGAGTGACGCCTCAACACCGGAGGACCGGGGTCATCGTTCTGGAAAGAATTAAAGAAGAAGACGAGAGTCAGCGAGGAATCAAGACCACACAGATCCAGAGAGTCTGTCTGAATGTGATCCTGGATCAGGTCTTCAGTCTGCAGGTGAACTCGGTCAGAGCAGAGTTAAACTGACCTGAGCTTTGAGGAAGCTGGTGATCCAGTCCCACAGGTCGGCCTCACAGCTGCAGGACAGGTACCTGAGACAGAGACACAGGTGAACTGAACTGAGACTTCAGCCTGGTCTTTACAACATGAGGAACACCTGAGACCTCATCCTCACAGAGAACTACAGTTCACTTTAGATCCAGATCCTGCTGTTTCGTGCTCTGACAGGTGAGTCAGGACAGGTAAGTCTGGACAGGTGAGTCAGGACAGGTGAGTCTTCATCAGAGCTTTACATGAACTTATTATTATCATCACTTTTAATTTATTCATGTTTTTACCTTTGGTCTTTTTCGTGTGAAGAGCTTTGAGCTGCAGATTATTTATTGATTAAATCATCATCAATATCCTAATTACAGCAGAATGACTTGATGTTATACAAGTGATCAGTTGTTCTCTGTTCTCCCTGGCTCCAGGTGAGATCGATAAAAATGTCGATGACGATCAGCTGATGTTGACAGCTGGATACTTACAGCTGGTGTTTGTCCGACATCACTGTGAACCCCCACCTGCAGGTGGGAACAGGTTGTTAATAATCAGCTGATCACAGGTATGTTTCAGAGTTCATCAGCTGACTTATCATGTACTAACACTGCTGACCTCTGACCTCTGTGAACTCAGTTATAACTGGTGACATTATGTCCTGTCTCAGTCTTGAAAATATCCTCTATTAAAAGTTCCTGAAGGTCTCGGAACTTTCCTACAACAAGTTCAAAATCTTCAATCAAGTTAAGGATGTATTTCCACTTTTATTTGATTTCTTTTGTTTCAGTCAGTTGATTTTTGTCAGTAATACAGTTTATAGAAAGTTATCCATTTCTAAACTCTTTTGTTATTCATTTATTTCCTCTCTTTCTTTTCTTCAAGATCCTCTCTGAAACAGTCCAGGGGAGAAGAACCTTTTATATGAGGAGTTCTGGGCTGTAGCCTATGTTGTAAAGTTGTAAAGTTGCTGTAATGTTGACATGTGCTGTAAAGTTGACATGTGCTGTAAAATTGTAAAGTTGCTGTAAAGTTGACATATGTTGTAAAGTTGTTGTAAAGTTGCTGTAAAGATGCTGTAAAGTTGGCATGTGCTGTAAAGTTGCCGTAAAGTTGAAACGTGCTGTAAAGCTGTAAAGTTGCTGTAAAGTTGAAGCGTGATGTAAAGTTGACATATATATGTTTCACTGTACAAATTGTATATTTTGGTAGTGTCATGCTACACTGATGCTCTGTTGTACTTTATATGAATCTGTTTTCTGTCTGTGTTGAAAATCCAAAAAAAAAATTCTTTGAGAAAAAAAAACACTGACTACTCTTTAATGCGGCCTACTGATGAATTAATGAATGAATCGAAGAGTGGATGAATGAATGAATGAGTGAATGAATAAGTGAAAAAATGGATGAATGAATGAAAGAGTGGATGAATAAGTGAATGAATGAGTGAATGGATGAATGAATGAGTGAATGAATGAGTGAATGGATGAATGGATGAATGAATGAGTGAATGAATGAATGAAAAAATTTATGGATAAGTGAATGACTGAGTGAGTGAATAAATGAATGAATGAGTGAATGAAAAAATGAATGGATGAGTGAATGAATGAGTGAATTAATGAATAAATTAATGGGTGAATGAAGGGATGAATGAAAAAATGAATGAATGAATGAATGGATGTGTGAGTGCCCTGATATTAAGTTTTAGTATAAAAACATGAAACATCATTAATAAATCAGAGTGAGTGACTTCACTCTGCCTCAACTCTCTGTCTATACAGCTCTGGAACATCCCCACTGTGTTCATACAGAGTCCGTCAGTGAGTGGTTGAATGGTGCTGTGATCACAGAAGGCGCCATGAGGTCACTGGGTTAGAACAGCGTTGTTGATTCTCGTTGCAGTCAGCTACACAATAATACTAATATAATAATAATTAGATTCCTCTCCTGCTCTTATTTTCTCCATCTGCATGTTCTGATGTAAAATTTTTATTTTCAGAGTGACACAAAGAAACAAAGTCAACTCAACAAAATATAAAAACCAGGTCTGACTTTGACAGGATCACATGATGACATGTAGGATTTGAGTGACAGCTTCCTGTTACCTTGTTGGAGCTTTCAGTTTCCTGCGGATGCCGATGTAGATCTTCATGGACGCCAGAGACCACTCCTTCTCTGGTTTGATGCTCTGAACAACAACACAGACCAGTCAGGAGGATATGGAACATGGTTCTGACAGAAACCCTGATCTGTGGTCTGAGGTTCTGATAGAAACCCAGTTCTTGTGGACTGGTTACCTTCTTATCTTTAAGCAGCAGCAGTTTGTGCTCTTTGATCTGAAATGTTCTTTCCTGGAACTTGTTCCCCTGAAGAAGCTTTGGAGGTTCTTCACGACACCTCAACAGACCGACCTTCATGATCTCACTCTTATAGGCTGAGATAGAAAGAAAGAGAGAGACAAAACATCACCCGAGGCTTTTCCATCATTTATTCAAACCAACAACTGATCAGTGTGTGTGTGTGTGTGTGTGTGTGTGTGTGTGTGTGTGTGTGTGTGTGTGTGTGTTGGACCTACAGGTGAGGATGTTGATGCCCTCTCCTTTAGGAACTCTCTTCACCACCAGGTAAGCTGAGCTTGGGTCAGCCATCTTACACCACTGCAGGGCCTGCTCCAGGACTTTCTCTTTGGGGTGTAATGGGCGCTCTGAGAGAGACAGACAGGTGTCCAGGTGTCAGAGAGACAGACAGGTGTCCACGTGACAGAGAGAAAGACAGGTGTCCAGGTGTGTCAGAGAGACAGACAAGTGTCCAGGTGTCAGAGGGACAATCAGGTGTCCAGGGGACAGAAAGACAGACAGGTTTCCACCTGACAGAGAGACAGACAGGTGTCCAGGTGTGTCAGAGAGACAGTCAGGTGTCCAGGGGACAGAGAGACAGACAGGTGTACAGGTATTGTGGTGCTGTCTCACCCAGCTGTCCATCCTCGATGGCCTCAAACGTCATCCACACGTCTTTGTCTCCGGCCGGGACGTTCCTCATGTACAGAACCTGATTGGTCAGCTCCTCAGCACACATGGTGGGAGACACCTGCAGGGGTCAGAGGTCACACACTGTGACACCACAACTTTTCCATATCCCAGCATGCACTGGGACAGAGGTGGGGTACAAGCTGTGAGGTCACATGTGACAAAAAAATTCCTGCTGTGTCATGATTGGCTGTTTACAGTTTACCTTTGACACTCTGTCACCATCACTGATTACCACTCATTAATTACCAATTAATAATCATTGATTACTGATTACTAATAAGTGATTACTGATCACTACTAATTGATCACTACTCACTGATTACTGATCACTAATCACTGATTACTAATCACTAATCACTGTACACTAATAACTGATTACTAATCACACTGATTACTGATTACTAATCATTGATTACTGATCACTAATAACTGATGACTAATCACTGACTACTAATAACTGATTACTAATCACTGATTATTGATCACTAATAACTGATTGCTAATCACTCATTACAGTGATCAGTGATGAAGATGAGTGATCATTACAGTAATATTAGTAATATTCAGACTTACTTTGAGAGTGAGGCAGTAATAACAGTATCAGACTCTTCATCAGTGATGAAGATGAGTGTTATCATTATTAATGATTGATTGATTATTGATGGGTAATATTTACACTTACTTTTAGAGTGATGCAGCAGTCTGGAATCTTCATCTCCAGATAAACCTCAATGATCAGATCACCGGCCTGAGACAGCTGCAAACACACAATAACTGATCAATAAGTGATCAATAAATGTCAGATATAAACAACCTATTACTGACCTGTTTAACCAACTCATTAACTTGCCAAACACTGATCAGTTCATTCATATTATGACCTGAGATAATGTCTTATTATTTATCATTAAACGATGATATGACATCATCACTGTGAGACCACCTGTGTGTCCTTCCAGGTGGTGATGAGGCTGATCTCCAGCTCGATCTGAGTCTGATGCTCCTCATCAATCTGAAACACAAACACACTGAGTGAGTACCTGTCATCTGATGTCACCTGATCAGGTCAACTGATGTCACCTGACGTCACCTGATCAGGTCACCTGACGTCACCTGATGTCATCTGACGTCACACTCACCTCAAAGACTTGAAGGTAGTTGTCGATCAGATCCTCAACAATCTTCACCTCGTGCTCTCCTTTCCCGTCGGTCTGAAACAGACTGGGAGCGAACAGCAGCGACAGGTTCTTTGTGCACATCTGGTTCAGACCAGCACACTTCTGGACCCTGAGGGGGACAAACAGCTGCTGTTAGAACACCTGCTTCACGCTGCTGTCGGACTAGTCTCAGGTCAGGTGAGCTCACCTGTACAGGTGACTGATGAGAGCAGCCAGAGTCATCCTGTTGACTCGAGGAAGACTCCGGATGATTTCTTTGTACCGGTCCAGTCTCTGACTCCTCTGAGGGATTTCTGAGGAAATTCCGTTTCATTACACAACAACACCACAACAACCACAAAAAAACAACAACAACAATAATACCACAACAACAACAACCACAACCACCACCACAACAACACCACAACCACAACAACCACACCACAACAACAACAACACCACAACCACAACAAACACCGAAACAACAACCACAAAAAACAACAATAATACTATGACAACAACAACAACAACCACCACCACCACCACCACAACAACAACAACAACCACAACCACCAACACAACAACAACAACCACAACCACCACAACCACAATAACCCCACCACAACCACAACAACAACAACCACCACCACCACCACCACAACAACAACAACACCCACAACCACCACCACAACAACACCACAACCACAACACCGAAACAACAACCACAAAAAACAACAATAATACTACGACAACAACAACAACACCCACAACCACCACCACAACAACACCACAACCACAACACCGAAACAACAACCACAAAAAACAACAATAATACTACGACAACAACAACAACAACCACACCCACCACCACAACAACAACAACCACAATCACCACAACCAAAATAACCACACCACATCCACAACAACAACCACAACCACCACAACCACAACAACCACACCACAACAACAACACCACAACCACAACACCGAAACAACAACCACAAAAACAACAATACTACGACAACAACAACAACAACCACCACCACCACAACAACAACCACAACCACCACCACAACAACAACAACCACAACCACCACAACCAAAATAACCACACCACAACCACAACAACAACCACAACCACCACCACAACAACAACAACCACAACCACCACAACCAAAATAACCACACCACAACCACAACAACAACCACAACCACCACCACCACAACAACAACACCACAACCACAACAACAACAACCACAACCACAACCACCACCACCACAACAACAACACCACAACCACAACAAACACCGCAACAACAGCAACCCCAACAACAACACCACAACAACAATAATACCACCACCACAACAACAACCACAAAAAACAACAATAATACCACCACACCCACAACAACACCACAACCACAACCACCACCACCACAACAACAACACCACAACCACAACAAACACCCAAACAACAGCAACCACAACAACAACACCACAACAACAATAACACCACCACCACAACAACAACCACCACACCACAACAACAACCACACCACAACAACAACACCACAACCACAACAACCACAACAACAACAACACCACAACCACAACAACAACCACAACAACAACCACACCACAACAACCACAACATCTACCGAAACAACAATAACCACAACAACACCACAAGAACCACAACAACACCATAACCATAACCATAAATAAAACAACAACAACCACAACAATTGCAACAACCACAACAACAACCACAACCACAACCACAACCACAACCACAACCACACCACAACAACCACAACAACAACAACAACACAACAACCACAACAACAGAACAAAAACAACAACAACCTCATCAACAACAAAAACAACAACAACCACAACAGCAATAACAACCACCACCACAACAACAACAACAACAACATCACAACAACAACCACCACCATAACAACAACCACAACAACCACAACACCCCAACAACCACAATCACAACAACAACAACACAACAACAACCACACAACAGAACAACAATCATAAACAAACAACAGCAACAAAACAACAACAACAACACAACAACCATAACTACAACAACAATCATAAACAAACAACAGCAACAAAACAACAACAACAACAACAACAACAACAAACACAACAAACACAACCATAACATCTGATTATTCAACCTGCTACACACTGACAGACACATCCTGACTTTCAGTCCTTGTTTTCCCTTCAGACCTCGAGATGTCTAATAAATCTAACACCGAGACAAGTCCAAGATCAGACCTACACCTGAACCCTGGCAGCACAGACTATGGTCTGGATTGAACAGGACTCACTGGCGGCCTCCTGCCACAGCGGGTGGAGGTCGGCCATGAAGATGGGGTCGTCGATCTCTCTGAAGAACCTCTTCAGGACGTCCGTCACATCCTCGATGAAGTGGTCTCCGATCCGCAGTTTGACGTTTCGAGCATCTTTGCGAAACTCTTCCATCAGCAGTTTGATCCTGGACTTGGCCCCATTCTTCCTGTAGATCCCCTCGTGGCCCAGACCTACAGAGAACCAGAACCAGAACTATTAGCTTTGAGAAACAGAATCACTGGACGATGAGAGAAAAGATCCTGATCTGTAAATGCCACATAGAGCAGTCATCTCTAAGGTAACAGGTAGTTTCATGTCTCATGTCTCTGCCCCCCTCACCATACTGAGTGATGAAGGCGATGCAGCTGTCCACGATGATGGGGATGTCGTTCCTACTCAGCTGTTGTTCCCTCAGAGTGTTTCCTTTCCCGCCGGCGGCTCGCTGGATGTCTGAGTACCACAGAGAGAAATCTGTGCGTCCGACCCCCTGCAGGTGCAGAGTCCTGACGAGGACAGGAGACCAGAACATGAAGGGGGACAGAAGTGAAACCAACAGCAGAGAAACTGGGATGAGCAGAATCTTCCTCTCACCTTCCCTTCTCCACTAAGACCAGAATGTCCTTCTTCTCGTGGTTCTCGTTCTCGGAGGCGAGACCTTCAACACAAACACAGACACTTTGATCTAAACTGCTCTAAAACAGACTATTTGTAGACCAGGAGCAGGACTGCATGGGACACTGACTGAGCTCCTGCAGGCGGTTCAGGTTAATGATGTCCTCTGCTGCTCCATCGTTCCTGGGACAAATGAAGAGGTTGGACTTCTGTAGGACGAAGTAGGCCTCCTTCCACTGCTGAGGGTCCAACATGGCACGGTACCGCAGCAGCCCCACCCGCTCAAACTCCCTGGTCAGCAGACAGTGACAGCTGAGCGGTGTCGCAGCCTGATGGTCAACAACAGTATCAATATCAGATTTATTGTTATTTTATCTACAGACCAGGTGATCAATCAATCAATCATCATGATGACTACAAGGGACTGGACTACACCCCTGAACTAAGCTTGAGGTTTTAGTTATCACAGCAAAGACAGAGATACTGAGCTCCAACAAAATACCAACCCCCCCAAAAAGAGCTTGGCTTCTTCTTGTCTGGATTCTGATCAATCAGATGGGGGGGTATCTCACCTTCCCGATGGCCTTGGTCCAGCTGTGCAGAGCGTCAGCCGTCTCCAAACCAAACTGAAAGAGTTTCTCGGACGTTAGATACAACTCGAAGGTGTAACGGAACCTGAGGGGGCGGGACAGAGAGATGCACACCTTTACAACTGAAAGCTTCTGTTTCCATGGATTCATATGAATGATGAGTGAGTGTACCTGTCAATGAATCCATTGTTGTTGTTGGAGGAGTCGGGCCGGCTGACTCCCAGACAGATGATGTCTCTAACACTGATCTGCAGACAGGGATCAGCTGATCGGTCCGACTCGTATAGCAGCAGAGACTGATCCACCGAACACCAGAACTTCTGGAAGTCTGGATCAGGATCAGAAGGGGGACGTGGTTTTAAATGATCTCAGTCCCCAGAAACAAGTTTCTGTACTCATCAATAAACAGGCTGAACTTCTTCATGTTCGTTTCCATGGAAACATGAAATAACAGATAAGAAATGTAACAGAAAAGAGTAGCTCTGTTTAAATGAAAGATCCATCCATTATTAATTATTATCAATAACATTGTATTATTGGAAACTCTCCATATATGTTGAACTGTGACACACACACACACACACACCCCTCACCATCTCGAGTTCTCCTGGACAGTGTTCCTCTGTTGACGGAGCCGGACTTGTAGATGAAACCAGAGTGAAGAACAGGCTGCATGATCTCATCGTACACACTGGGATCTGATGAAGAACACACACACACACACACACACACACACACACACACACACACACACACACAGTCATTGTTACTGTTGTTGTCTAACAGTACAGTACAGCTGTTCTTATCTTTAGATCAGAATAAGTTGATCAGCTGATCTGGAGTCAGCTGTGTGAACAGAAACATGACCATCTGGAAATACACCAGAGTCCAGACCTGAGGGGGGGCAGTGATCCAGCAGCTGATGGTGTTGTTGGCAGCCATTGGCGTCACTGGCAAGACGAGCTGACTCTGCCTCTGAGAAAATCTGAGTGACGGTTTTCAGAAGAGTCTGTTCAGAGACCGCTGAACACAAGACCTGTTAATGAGAGAGAGACATCAACAGAGAGAGAGAGAGAGAGAGATGTACATATATATACTGTATATATATCACATATTATAAACATGTGATCGACATGATGTGATTCTTAGATTGTCCACATGATATTGACCCATGTTGGTCACATGTGACCTCTGACACGTGAAGCAGCCTGTTGTGGTTTCAGGTAGAGACCAGGACTCAGACCTTGAGCAGCTCCTCCTGGCTGCTGAGGGAGGGGTGGGGGAGGCGGTACCGTCCCTCTCTGTACTTCTGAGTGATGAAGTCTCTCCTCGTCTCAGGTGAGGCATCACAATCCAGCTCCTCCGACACAGACAGACGGGCTGACCAGAATTCGTTGGCCCGGTCGTTCCCCAGCATGATGAACAGCTGACGACACAAACAAACAAACAAACAAACAAGTCAACAACAACAACAACAACAACATGGCTCAGGTTTGAGCTGGTGATCACAGAACAGACAGAACTAACATGTACATTGAACACGCCTCCTTCACGTGTTTAAAACATGGAGCCAGTCTTACCCTTGTTTCAAAGTAAAAGTCCTACGAGGGTTCCTGATGTAACTACAGTTCTATGAATTCTGGACGACCACACTGCATCAAGTGGAGCCTGGATACCTGAACCTGCAGTCATGTGACTGCATTTACCATGTGACTTCACATTTACAATGTGACTGCACATGTACTGAGTGATGACTATGTAGCTCTGACACGTTTTAGTTTGAAACTATGTTTCAGTCTGGACGGCAGGAACCCACGTTCACTTCCTGTCTGGGTCTAATCAGTTACACATCTGTCCCTGATTCGTCACACTCCTGTCACATCTTTTCACACATTTACCTTCACATAAACCTAAAGTCAACAACAGCCTGCACAGGTGTCCAGAGACCACTCCTACAGGTGGAAAGGTGGTTCTGGTCTCACCTGGACGATCTCGTTGCTCCACACGCTGGTGTCCAGCTTCAGACTCTGAACTTTAGAGACCATTGTCCCCAGACCTCTGTGCTGCCCTGCGCGCGCACACACACACACACACACACACACACACACACACACACACACACAGTCTGTTCATGAACAGCAGTTTTACTTAAATGTCAGTTGGTCCTGTTCTGAGTCTGAGTCTGTCATATAACTCATCTCCATGGAAACTGTCTCATTTTGACCTTTATGTCTCTCAGGTATAAAACACAGGTGTTCTGCTGACTGTGTCTGGACCATACTGGTCTGATCCAGACAGGCTGACAGGTGGTTGCTGAGATCTGGAGGGTAACTGTCATGTTACTAGGTGGTTGCCAGGTGAGCTGTTTTGGATGGTGGGGGTTTAGTTGCTATAGTGATAATCAAGTGCTCCTGGCGGAAACAAAGATGTTGGTTGGTGGTTGCTAGGTTACAGGATGTACAGGATTGTTTCTGTGATGATTTAAAGGAACAAAGAGAACTGATCAGTATATACCCTCAGACTATCCTACCTGCACAGTTCTTGCAGATGACCACACACAGGTTGATGGAGGCCCAGTCCGGGTTCAGGGCCTTGCAGTCAGCACACATCCTGTTGGATCTGTTGGACCAGATCTTCTCGGCCACCTCGTAGTCTGACAGAGTCTCTGCGATGGACTCCTGCAGGGCCTCCATCCAGTCCCGCTTCTCCCGGTCAGACTCCGCCGTGAAGCTAAGGAGGCGAAACAGAGGTCTGTGGTGAGGTCTAGTGGATGGTCGCCTCGGCAACGGCATTTTAAAGACACAAAAGCAGTTTTTAACGTTCAGTCTTTATACTGATTGAGACGGAGGAGACGGAGTTTCAGTCTGAGTCCAGAGCTGCAGGGATTTACTGTAAGGAGCTTTCTCTCAGTCCATGACCTGGTTTTTGGACCAAATGGCTCAGACTCGCAGAGACCTGCCAGGCTGAGACCAAAGACCCCGGACCTGACGTGTCTCTGCCTTTAGACCTTCTTTTAGACTGTTTGGGGCATTTAGAGGTTTAAAGGAGACACAACACTGAGATTCATCCTTCTTTAGAGAACGTTCATTCAACACGGTACAGGTCCTGAGTCCTGACCCGGCTCAAGACTCAGGACCTGGACTCTGGACTCTGGACTCTGATGGTACCTGAAGGTCTTGTAGGGAGTGATGAGGTCGAAGCTTTTGTGTTTTCCATCTCTGATTGTCGCTCCTCGAGCTTCAATCACTGTGATCCCGATCCCGTTATGAAAACACTGGAGACACAAGTAGACACATTAACGACCTGCACACACATACACACACATATCAATGACCCACACACACACACACACCAACGACCTACACACACACACACACACACACACACACACACACACACACACACTGGATCAATAATCAGCTGTATGTCCATCACAGTGTTTTACACCGTAAAAAAGTTTTTATGGATCTTTAAGGTTTTTAAATCCGGACTCACCTGTTCACTCTTGTAGATCCAGATCTGGTCTGTGTTGATGGCAGCGTAAACTCGGGATTTGGTTCCTTTCAGTTCCAGGGCTCCGTGTCTCTGACAGTGAGAACCAGGACCGAACCGCCTCCGACCAAACACCAGCTGATCCCTGACGTGGTCCTGCAGTGTGGAAACCCAGCGCCGCCTCAGCACTGACACATAGAGAGGCAGAGCATCTTCATCATCATAATCATCATAATCATCATCGTCATCATCATCATGTGCATCATCATCATCAATATCAATATCATCATCATCATCATCATCATCATCAATATCAATATCATCATCAGACTGGTCATGTGACAGACCAGAGACCAGCCTGACTGACGCAGCTCAGAGGAACAGATCTGCTTACATCAGTCACACTGATACAGTCCAGTGTGTGTGTGAGTGTGTGTGTGAGTGTGAGTGTGTGTGTGTGTGTGTGTGTGTGAGTGTGTGTGTGTGTTTTTGTGTGTGTGTGTGGGTGTGTGTGTGTGTGGGTGTGTGTGTGTGTGTGTGTGTGTGTGTGTGTGTGTGTGTGTGTGTGTGTGTGTGTGTGTGTGTGTGTGTGTGAGCTCACCTTCATTATCAGTCCTGAACACAAAGATTCTCTGACTCGTCACTATTTCAAATTTATTGTCTTTGGCTGGGCGGGCCATCTGGATGGCAGCCAATGGGATCACTCCTTTAGGGTAGACGTCCTGAAACAGTGAGACAGAGCCGTTACAACTACTGAGACTCTGTCAGGAAACACTGTGTGTGTGTGTGTGTGTGTGTGTGTGTGTGTGTGTGTGTGTGTGTGTGTGTTTGGGGGGGTCAGGGTCCGGAGGATTTGTTTACATGGTTGTGGAGGCTGGTTTTGGTTACAGGCTGTTGATATTTGAGGTTCACATGGCAACAGTTCAGTCATATGTTGTACCTTCTCACTGCCGAAGTACATTAGGTTTTTTCCATCAAACTTCACATAACGTTTCTGGAAAACATAGTTCCTGAAAAATAAAAACACACATGAGAGACATTCAGTCATTTACCACTTACAATAAACCGTGACTCTGATGGGATTAATGATAATATCCTTTACAATATTCATATTTATAATATTTATAATATCATGTTTCACAGATCTGGTTCATCAGTGTTGTTTGAGTTAGACACAAAAATCTTACCAAAGAAGAACTTTTTAGTTTTTAGGCAGAGATTGAGGAAGAGGAAGAGAGAAACACACCCAGTGGAGGATGAAGAGTCAGAGGATGAAGAAGAGGAGGAGGAGGAGGTGACAAGGCAGAGGCAGCTCCTGAGGAGGCAGGAAACACAGGGAGGAGCAGAGAGGAAGAGACGCAGCAGGACAACCAGCACTGAGGTCTGATCCCTGACAAACACACACACACAATCTGTGTCACTGATGTCTTTAACTTTCAGAAACATTCAACCACTGTGATTGGTCAGGTGAGAACGTGAGCGGAGCTCCACCATCTCCTTTCTCAGTGTTTATCGGCGTTTGGACCCAGGAGACCTGACATCATCAGATTAGACTGGAACCTCCTCAAGAACCTTTTACAAATCTCAGATACCTCCTTCATAACATCTGGAACCTCCTCAGTTCCACAGCTTCTTTAGAACCTCTGCATTCTCTTTAAATCTCATTAAAGACCCTTGGAACCTACTGGGGAAACGATTTAAACTCTTAAGGAACCTCTGGAACGTCCTCAAGACCCCGTACAGTCTCTTAAGAACCTCTGAAACCTGTCCAAGGACATCTGGTATCTCCTCATACCAGCTAACCCACAACCAGCTGTTTAAATCAAATGTACCTCTGCGTTTTTTTTCTCTCTAACTAGGTCTTTAAATCAAACGCACCCCTGTGGAGACAGCTTGTCCAGCCAGCCGCTGATGATGGGCGGGGCTCTCTCAGTCAAGGAGGTGTAGCTGGCATAGGGGGAGATGGTCAGGTCCTCATCGGTCTCTGAGTGGAAGGTGTGGGGGGGCAGAGAGAGGCAGCGGAGGGGGGGCGGAGGTTCTCCAACGGTGCTGTAACCCTGAGAATCTCCGGAGTGAAGAGCCTGAGACAAACGCTTGGTCCAGAAGAACTTGTGACCCCTGAAGATACAAATAAAACTTTATTGAAATATGACATCACAGCCTGAGAACCAATGAGATCCATGTCCCAGGCTCAGGCACATTTCATCCTGTAAATTCTTTTATTGTGAAATATGTGAACACTTATATTTTGAAACGTATAAAGAAATGATTCCCCATCTTTTTTACATTATTATCAGTTTTAACATAACTGTATTTTTCCAACACAAGAATAATATCATACATATTATTTAATATTTATAATATTATCTGTCCTCAAAGTAAAATATCAAAAATCACTATCATGTTCCACTCATGACAGTGTCTCAGTACATTTTTATATTTTGATGGATATATTTTTTTCATAAATTCAAATTCTGTCATTTTAACCCACTTTTCTGCCTTTTCTTACAGAAACTCGTCTGTCAGTTCCTCTGAGCCTTAAATTATATGATATGATGAAAAGTGTCTCCAACAACATTAATTGAGTTTTGTCTGCGTTTAATGATCTTGAATTTAATGAGCTGAGACTATAATATGATAAAGTCAAAGTTAGTTAGTTAGTAGATTAATCTTAATGCATCTGAGAGAGGAGAGCCACATATAAATAAAACTGTATCATCTGCATATAGTCCGTCAGGGTTCTCTATCAGCCCACTTTTACATTTGTCTTTATTTGAATAAGGAAGTTGTTCATAATAGTTTTAGTACCTGTGGATATGAAATATAAAAATATGATAATGAAAAGTTTTACAAATATTATTTATATAACGAGATAATAAAAGTGGGCCGAGTATAGAACCCTAAGGAAATTCACAGTGCTACAATATGCAGATGATACAGTTTTATTTATGTCTTTTGGGCCTCTCCTGTCCAATCACCTGTTCAGTATTTCCAAACTGTTTACAGTTCTGTGTAACAAATTATCTGGTGTGTCAGGATAAGTAATATTGTTGTCTGGCGTCTTACCCATGATTCTCTGCATGTTTCTCCTCTTCCCTCCTCGTCTCTCTTCCCTCCAGTCTGCTTCTTTCACTCTGGATCTGCAATGAGATGTTAAAAGGTTAATGCCATGATTCTTCCCTCATTTCAAACTAACGACCACAGGGTTTAAGACTTGACCAGCTGTAGAGGATCTGTGACCATTAAGGGAACATCATCAATCTGATGAGTAGGTAGGAGACAGTGAATGAGACAATTAGGGAGAAGACGAGCTGCGGTTCCTCACCTCACAGGTGTGTGGATGTCTCCTGGTTTGGAAAACAGTCTCACAGTAAGGACTGATCTCCTCCTCAGGGTCATCTGTGGAAGCTGTCAGCAGGTGAACAGAGGACACTGAGTTAGCTAGGTTCTCTGTGGACTGTGATCTGACCCTGAACCCCTGATGGTGAGACCACAATGTAAAGTCTTCAGTAACGGTTTATGGTGTCTGAACTTACCTTGGGCTGATCCTGAAGAGTTGTTACTTAAAGTGCTGCCACTGAAAACACAAACACATCAACAAGCCATCACTACTTGGTTTACAGAGATAGAGGTTCAGGTGTTCAGTTGGTTGGTCAGTTGGTCAATTGGTTGGTCAGTTGGTTTATCAGTTGGTCAGTTGGTTGGTCATTCAGTTAGTTAATCAGTTGGTCAGTTGGTTGGTCGGTTGGTTTATCAGTTAGTCAGTCGGTTGGTCAGTTGGTTGGTAGGTTGGTTGGTCAGTTGGTTGGTTGGTCGGTCGGTTTGTCAGTTGGTTGGTTGGTTGGTTGGTTGGTCAGTTGGTTGGTCGGTTGGTTGGTCAGTTGATTGGTCAGTTGGTTGGTCAGTTGGTTGGTTGGTCGGTCGGTCGGTCAGTTGGTTGGTTGGTTGGTTGGTCAGTTGGTTGGTCAGTTGGTTGGTCAGTTGGTTGGTCAGTTGGTTGGTTAGTTGGTTGGTCAGTTGGTTGGTTGGTCGGTCGGTCGGTCAGTTGGTCGGTTGGTTGGTTGGTCAGTTGGTTGGTCGGTCGGTCGGTCGGTCGGTTGGTCAGTATTTAGGTCGGAGTATTTTTGTGGAAGTGAGACAGGACAGTGAAAATGCTACTCTGGGACTTCCGGTTTAGCAAATGAGTGGGTAGATGAAGTGATAAAACATAGAAAAGCCAAAATTCAAACGCGCAACCAGAGAGAGGATGAGTACTAAAAGGGAACTTACCAAAAAAGAAACGGAGAAGAAGCAAAGAGAGCAAGAAAAAATGGAAGATAGAAAGGGAGACGATAGGTCAGATGCCGCTAACGATGACATGCTAGCTAGCATGAAGGCATGCTTTGACAACGTGTCTAAGCAGATTCAGACCAATAGCGAGGAAAACCGAAAAGAAATGAAGGACATTCGAGAGAGTATTCAAAATCTGGGAAGTATGTTGAGACAAGAACTAGCCACTTTTAAGGAGGAGATGGGCCACAGGTTCGAGGCCATCGACAGGGGAATGGAAGCCCAGGGCAGAGATATTGCAGACATGCAAGAGCGCGTGGTGGAGACCGAGGAGTGGAATGCAGAGCTGAAGGGGATTCTCGCCTCTTCCCTCAAGCAGCAAAGGAGGCTACAGGAGAAAGTAACTGACTTAGAAGGGAGATTGAGAAGGAACAATATTTGAGTTTGGGGAGTACCAGAGGGCGAAGAGAAGGATTCGGCACCCGAGTTTATAGAGCGCTTGATTCGCAAGGAGCTTAAGCTCAGGGAAGATGCCAGTCTACAAATACAATGTGCTCACAGAGCGTTGGCACCAAAACCTGCCCCAGACAGGAACCCCAGAGCGATCACTGTCAACTTCCTGCAGTACCAAATCAAGGATGACATCCTCAAAAAGGCCTGGCAGACAAAAATCGAGATTGGGGGAAAGACAGTGACGTTCGACCACGACTACCCAGCAGAGGTGGCTGCAAAGCGCCGTAGCTATGCGGGACTGAAGAGAGTTCTAAAGGGAGAAGGGATTAAGTTCCAGTCACCGCTAACGTCATTGAAAGTCCACTGGCAAGGAGGCGTCCAGACCTACGGCAGTCCACAAGAAGCTGCACGGGCGAGGGAGGAGAGGGGAATGAAGGTGGATGGACTGATGGAGGAACAACAACCGACGCTGGAGCAGCAGCTTGAGGCCGCTTTCAAGTGGCGCAGAGTTGGGGACCAGGAGACCGACGTCGCTGGGAGAGCAAGGAAGGAACTGATGCGGTTCACTTGGAAGAAGTGAGAGGAGACGAGAAGAGATTATCTTTGGAGCCTATACCACGGAACAGGCACGAACTTTTGCATTTTCTATTTGGATTCCTACTATTTTTCTCAAAGACTCTTTGGTTCCTGACTGATTTCTGAAAGTTACGTAAGTAGCCTGTAGACATATTTTATTTGGGCGAAGGATGAGGGGAAACACTGCGGTTATGCATGCTATGAGAGACGAACCGAATGACATAGCCCACTCATGTATAGAGTTTTTTTTAGGGTTAGCCTACTTATTTTACTGAATGGGGTATTCTATTTTATTTCATTCTCCATTATGTGGGATGGTTTGGACAGTGTGGGCCGGGAGTGATGGTTGGAATATGTTGGACATTTTTAGCGTGAACGGAGGACTTCAGTTTGGAGAGTTTTCCATCGCTAAGGGGGGCCCTGTTACGAGAGGATTTCCCCTCTCCCCACCGACAGGGGAAATGGGGAGAGATAAAGAACCCCAGTTTACCATGGGAGATCACTTTTTTGTTTACTGTTTAGTTAGAACAGCTGTTGCTGATGTTTTTTATGTGTCCATGTTTAGCTTATGGGTAATGAAAGTGCATTGGGGAACTGATGTATAATGCAGCATGAAGATGTTAAAGTGGTATCACTGAATGTGAATGGGCTGAGTAGTCCAATTAAGAGGGCAAAGTTTATGGCCAAATTCAGAAAAGAAAAAATGCAGGTGGTGTTTCTGCAGGAGACACATTTGTCTACAGAGGAACATGAGAAACTAAAGAGATTTGGGTATAACAACACATTTTATAGCACTTGCCACAAACAAAGTAATAGGAGAGGGGTAGCCATATTAATAACAAATTCAACCAAATTTGAACCTGAAAAAGAAATGTGTGATAGGGAGGGAAGGTATATAATGGTAAAGGGTAAATTAGAGGGACAGAGAGTGACACTGATCAACGTATATGCACCTCCAGATAGCAAGAAACCCTTCTTTGAATCATTATTTGACATCATTAATGTAGAACTAGAGGGGTTCTTAATATGTGGAGGGGACTTCAATATGGTGATGAACTACAATCTAGATACGACTAGTACAAAGAAGAATAGGACATGGCTTAATAGATATATGAACACGCAACTGGTTGATTTGGGAATAGTAGATGTTTGGAGAGACCTACATCCCTTGGAGAGAGACTACACACACTATTCAGACCCACACCAAATGTATTCAAGGCTGGACTATTTCTTCATGACAAAGGGAGATATGCATAGGGTAGAGGACTGTAGGATAGGGGTAGCAGATTTATCAGACCATAACGCAGTCTACATGACAATAAATTTAAACAAGAGAAGGAGGACTACAGTGTGGAGGATGAATGTGGGGGTACTGAATGACAAAGACCTGGTGGAAAGGATAAAAATGGATATAAATAGGTATATAGAGGAAAACGATAATGGGGAGGTAGATCCAACCATTCTCTGGGATGCGCTTAAGGCCGTCATTAGGGGGAATTTGATGGCACAGACAACGCTGTGCAAGAAATCCAGACTAGTGAACTACTAGACACAAATTGGACACTTAAAGGACTTGGAGAGAAAACATAATGCCACAAGTGACCCAGAGGTACTTAGACAAGTGAAAGAAACAAAGAATAAAATAGATAATATATTACTGTCAGAAGTGGAAAAGAAGGCTAGATTTGTCAAACAAACCTATTATGAAGGAGGTCCCAAAGCAAGCAGATTACTGGCTAGACGTATAAGAAAACAACAAGCATTGAACACCATATACAAAATTAGAGACCCCAAAACTAATGATTTGCTTACTGAACCAGACGAAATAGAGAGAGTATTCAGGGAATATTATCAAAACTTATACACACAACCAGCAATGGCAGACGAACAAAAAATGAGAAACTTCCTGGACAGGTTGGATCTACCATCAATAGGGGGAGAGCAGAATACATTATTAATGGCAGACATCACAGAGGAGGAGATGGAAAGGGCGATCTCTAGGATGAAGAACAATAAATCTCCTGGCAGTGACGGATTCCCCTCAGAATTCTATAAACCCTTTAGACAAGAGTTGATCCCGGTATTGATGGCCTCATTTAGACACACAATTAATGAAGGGAAAATCCCTCCCTCATGGAAGGAGGCCATTATCACAACCATACCCAAAGAGAGCAAGGATCAAGAGCATTGTAGCAGCTATAGACCAATATCAGTACTAAATGTGGACTACAAGATGTACACCTTAATAATTTCCAAAAGATTCGAGACATTCATGACTGACATTATAGGCGAAGACCAGACCGGCTTTATTACAGGAAGACACGAAGAATAGTGCAACTTTAGTTAGTGTAGACGTAGAGAAAGCTTTCGACAGTGTCAATTGGACTTACTTATATAAGGTGTTAGAAAGATTTGGTTTCAATGAGGAATCTGTCCAGTGTATTAAGGCATTATATCAAGAGCCGACTGCTAGGCTCAAGGTGAATGGTAGTCTCACAGACCCCTTCTGTCTGGGAAGGTCTACTAGACAGGGGTGTAGTCTCTCTCCAACTCTCTTTGCAATATTCATAGAGCCATTGGCACAGGCGATTAGGCAGAACCAGGACATCAAAGGGGTGGAGGTGAATGGTAGAGAACATAATATAGGGCTGTTCGCAGATGATGTGGTAGCCTACTTGGAGCGACCCAGTGAGTCCTTCCCTGCACTGATGAACCTACTGGAGGAGTATGGATATTACTCAGGATACAAACTTAATGTTACCAAAACACAGATCTTGGCCATAAACTATGCCCCCACACCAGAGTTAGAAGAGAAATACTAAATTAAGTGGAATTCAGAAACAATTAGATATCTGGGAGTGAACATCACAAAGGGAGTGGGGAAGTTATACACTGCTAATTACATTCAGATTAATCAGGAACTCAGACGGGATATAGGAAGATGGTCAATACTACAATTGGATCTTAGTTCAAGGATAGAAATAATTAAGATGAATGTATTACCGAGGCTACTGTACCTGTTCCAAACTCTGCCAGTAATGATACCACAGAAACAGTTTATGGAGTGGGATAGATGGATATCCAGGTTCATTTGGGGGGGTAGGAGGCCAAGAATTCGATATAGCACCATGCAGCTCCCCAAGGACAAAGGGGGCATGGTAGTACCGAAACTACAAGACTACTTCTATGCTGCACAGCTCAGGGCCGTAACTTGCTGGTGTAATAGAGAATATGTAGCTAGATGGAAGGATATGGAAATGAAGGTGGAGGCTAGCCCAGTACAAATATTAATAACTGATAGGGAATTGTTTAAAAGGGAAGAGGGATTGCTGGACCCAATAACTAAATTCACATTGTGGATTTGGTACTTGGTAGTGAGACAGTATGGACTACAGAATGAAGCAAAGATTCTGAGGTGGATAACCCATGACAACAGATTCAAACCAGGAATTAGTGATTGGGGCTTTGAGAGATGGGCACATAGTGGTATTACAGCAATATGTATACTAATTGAGAGGGGGGAAATACAGAGTTTTCAGGCTTTAAGGGAGAAATTTGATTTGGAGGCAAACAAACTTTTTCGATATTTTCAGGTGAGGGATTATTATTTAAAGGAAATAAAGTTAGAAGAACCCAAAGAACAGAACATGATTATTAAAATAATGATAAATGCATATGAAGGGAGAAAACGTAGAGTAATCTCAGCTCTATACCAAGCTCTAGGTGCCAGTGGGGGTAATTCAACTGACTATATTAAAGAAAAATGGGAAAAAGAGCTTGGAATAGAAATAACAGAAGATGACTGGTATAATGTGTGCAAGGGCTCAACACTCAACCACTGGCTCTAGGGTATGGCGAGAATTTGGGTGGAAGAACATTATAAGGTTTTTCATAACACCAAAGATTAAGGGGAGATACACACCAGATCAGAAATCATGTTGGAGGTTGTGTGGACCATACACATGTGTTTTGGAAATGTCAAAAGATGGAGGGATATTGGGAGGGAGTCTGGAATGTGCTGAGGGAGATACTGGGATATGAGATACCAAAGACTTGTTTGGTATTATATCTGGGGAACATTCCACAAGAGGAGGTACAAGGAGGAGATAAATACCTGGTGAAAGTATTATTGGGGGATAGCAGGAAGGCAATTACAAGGGCCTGGTATAAGGTAGACCCACCTACTAGGGAACAGTGGCAGAGTGTTGTGAGGGAGATTTATGATATGGAGAGGTTCACGCATACCTTGAGAATGCGGAGGGAACAGTTTGTAGGGAAATGGGAGAAATGGAATTATTACAGAAGGGGCGAGGGTGATACCACTAGTAATTATAGTAATGGCCACTGAACAGGACAGAATTGTTGCATTGTGACTGAATGGAAGGACCTATAAGCTACTAATGGAAGTGTTTTTCTTTTGTTGTTTGTTTTTTTGTGTATTATTGTAATTAAATGAAAAAATCCAAATAAAAATTAAAGTTAAAAAAAAAAAGAAAATGCTACTCTGCTGTGTCAAGGTTATCTAGACTGGATGTGTTTCAACATCTGGGACATTTAAAAAGAACGTCAATAAACTTTGTTTGTCAGGGTGCTGTACCTGTTTCTCCCGGGGGTTTGTCTGGGAGGGGTCAGAGGAGCTGACGGCTGGCTGCAGTAACTCCTCCCTCCACCTGGGGCAGATCCAGGTGAAGTGCCCCAGTAGATCTCATTAGAGACCATCTCCAGTCCACCTCCTCTGGGTGAACTGGAGGGTGAGGATCCAGAGAGCCTGCCGCTGTCCAGACTTCCAGAACAGGAAGTCAGTGAGGACAAAGTCAGGTTCTGCTCTGTTTGTACAGGTGAAGAAGAGGACGACGAAGAGGGCGGGGACCCCTGGAATACTGAGGGGGGGACCCCGCGTTTCAGCCTTGGGGGGACTGGAGGTAACAGCCCCACAGCGTCTGACAGAGACAGGCTGCGGCTGGTCCTCGCCCTCTGAACCTGGCTTAGTCTTTGGCTGGGTGTGGTCAACTTGTCATTGAGGTCAGAGGTCAGTCTAGCATCAGGTGTGGGCTCATCCCCTGAGGTCAAGCCCTCTAACACAGTAAAACATATGGACTCCTGGGAGAGCCTCCTGGGTGGGGGTGGTGCAGGGTCTGGTGTTGGACAGAAGTGGACAGGTGCGGTCCTGCGGCGGTTGAAGACAGTTCTGGGTTTGGGAACTGGCTTCACCACAACTCTGGTGCTGCTGGATTCTGAGTCTGTCAGCATGGCGGCGAGGTTTGGAGCCGAACTGTTCCTGAACATCTCAAAGTTGACCGGTCGTGTGGATCGACGGGGGAACACAGCGCTGCGACCAAGCTCCAATGAAGAACCGTCCGTCACAGACTGACAGCGCTCACGTGGGAGATCAGTCTCTGCTTTCTGATTGGCTCTCTGAGCTTCTGTCCTCTGAAGGTGACCGACCAATCGTAGGATTCTCTTCCTGTGTCCAGTGGCAGTTATACCCAGACTGACGAGGGCGTCATGATCCAGGTGTGTGAAGTCTCTTGCCGACAGGAGACCAGCTCGACAGAAGGTGTTCAGGTACCTGCAGAGAAACAGCATCAGTCAACTTCAGTCCAGCAGGTTGGAAGATGATGGTACCACCTCAGTGTGAACCCAATACTTATACACTGTAAACATGATGACATCATGATGTTGATTCATCAGTTCCCAAACTGAGGAAACTTTCACAAAATTTAAAAAGCATCACACCGGATGGAGCCGTCCATCCGTCCCTACCTAACCTACCTGTCCCAACCCTGACCCAAACATAAACATGTTTGTTTTCACCAACCTTTATTCACCACTGAGTCTGATCAAGGTTTTGACTCTGAGACGAGGTTTTGACTCTGAGACGAGGTTTTGACTCTGAGACGAGGTTCTGATCAAGGTTCTAGCTCTGAGATGAGGTTCTGACTCTGAGACAAGGTTCTGGTTCTGATCAAGTTTCTGCTCTGAGACGAGGTTCTGATTCTGAGATGAGGTTCTGACTCTGAGACGAGGTTCTGGCTTTGATCGAGGTTCTGGCTCTGAGATGAGGTTCTGGCTCTGTAGCTACAGGCGGTTTAATGTGTTTATGTTAAAGCTGCTTCATCTTCATCATGAGGAGGAAGATGACGGTCCTGACCTCTCCAGATGGATCGCTGACAGAAGCGTCTCAACCGGCGTGCTTCCATCCAGCGAGGCCATGACGACCAACATGGAGTCTGGGTCTGAGGTCTCCTCCACGTCCAGGAACCAGCAGGTCCATCACTGACCTACAGCTGGGACAGAGGACAGTCCATCTGCAGGAGACAGAGACACAGAGTCTGATCATCATCATCATCACTGATGGTTCCTCATCATCAGGAACTGGACCTGATGCAGCCTGTGACCATGGCAACCTGTGATGTTTCACCTGTGTCACCTGTTGTTGTTTGTTGAACAGCTGATCAAACAGATTTTTTTAAACTTTTAAAGTTTGAATACAGAAGTTCAACAGTTCACACACTGTGTTTCCAAAGTAAAGATATAGATATGTCTCTATAGATTGATAGATAGATGGATAGATATAGACTATTTATATATATATAGATATAGAGCTTTTATTCTCACACTCACTGTTGAACACTCATCAGGGGTAAGAAATACATTGATGCCACCCCCACCCCCCCAGCAGCAGAGCAGAGCCTGTTTTTACTGCAATGAGATGGTATCACTGTGACCTTTGACCCCTGAAGGTCACGAACCCCCCACTGCCATCTACAACGACAGAATGAACAAAACATGATGATGTCAGCAGGCAACACAGCTGCAGGACTGTTTCTGAATGTCTGCAGCAGGATGACCTCTGACCTCTGTATAGATGGGGGGAGGGGGTTTGGAAACACTGCTGCTGGCTAACACGCACGCACACACACACACACACACACACACACACATACACGCTGATGTTTGTTATTTGTAACATGTCGTTTTAAATGTTGTGACAGGTGATGACATGTTCACATGATCTGAAAAAAACTGGTCCAAGGGTTCCAGAGATCCTAACACACAGAGAACAAAGACCACCAGACACACACACACACACACACACACACACACACACACACACACACACACACACACACAGGATACAGGGAGTGTTTGCAGCTGAGGCTTGTTGCCCCAAGCTGCAGGGTGGAGGGCTTTCAAAGAAATAACTGTGTGTGTGTGTGTGTGTATGTTTCCAGATTTCCTGAAAAAGGTTGGAATGTGTTTTGTGGGGACCAGATCTTGGTCCTAATGAGACAAAAGATCATTTTTGTGGTCCTGTTCCGGGACCTGGTCCTGGTCCTGGTCCTGGTCCTGGTCCTGGTGCAGGTCTGCACGTCAATTGAGACGACAGGTGAGTCTCTAGATTTGTCACAGTCACTAAAGGTTCTGACCACCCCTTGATGATGTCATCACTCAGTCAGTCATAGAAAAGACAGAAACATGACTGAGAGTAAAAATAAAAATAAAAATAACACACACACACACACACACACACACACACACACACACACACACACACACACACACATACAGTAGCAGTGTGTTCAGTATGAAGACAACGGCTAAGGAGGAAGTGAGTCACTGCAGCTTCCTCCTCCAGAGTCCAGCTGCTGCACATGGAACCAGTCAGACCAGTCAGACCAGTCTCTGTTCTGATCTAAGATCAGCCTCACAGAGACACTTTCCTCCACCTGGATTCTGAATTTAATGTCCTGATCAGGACCTGCTGTCCCACCTGAACCTCAGACGATGTCACAGGAAATGAAAACTTTATTATCCTCGCCATCAGAGTCCTGGTGGTTTGGGGTCTCTGATCCTCACAGAGACACAAGACCTGGACCAATGACACAGAGCTCTGAGCAGGTCCAGTCTCTGTGGAGGAGGAGGACAGAGAGGAAGCAGGACTCAGCAGAGAGAAGTCTGATCTGCAAGGACAAAGAACCAGAGGCCACAGAGGAGGAAGAAACCAAGTCCAGGTTTTCAGGGAGACAGGAAGTGGGTGAAACTGCAGATAAAGACTGAGGGAAAGGACACAAACAGACACTCCCATCCTTCATCCTCCCCCGTCCTCCTCTGTAGTCCTGCAGCTGGTCTGAGAGCTGGTGTGACTACAGAGTCACAGCCTCAGAGCATCAGACCTCCTCCACAGGACTTCCTGGACCTGGATGTTTTCTTCCATGTGAATGAGACATGAGGTGGTTGGACACAAAGATGACAACATCTGTCTCTCATGGACTCAGTACATGTTCAAGAGGTTTGGACTCAGTCTTGCTGGTTTCTCCAAGCAGAGCGAGTGATAGGCTGAGAGACATGTCAATCAAACAACAACACCCCCACAAACAAAGACCTCTGTTAGAGAGAGATAGAGAGGGAGACAGAGAGAAAGTGGGCAGAGGAAGGAAGAGAGGGAGAGACTGACCTTCATTCTTCACCTCCACTGAGGAGAGAGAGACAGAGAGAGAGAGAGAGCGAGGAGGGAGAATAACGGAAGGACAAATAAAAGAGAGAGAGGGGTGGGCGAGCTAGCAGTGTAATAACAGTGAGGCTCTATTGTGACAAACAGAAGGTGGATTGTTCAGAGCTGTGACTGGAACCACACACAGACTCACTGGGAACACTGGGAACTCTGGGTAACTGAGCACACACTGGAAACACTGGACATGAAGGTGTGTGTGTGTGTTGGGGGGGGGGGGGGGGCAGGTCCAGGATCTGGACTGTCCTCTGGACTCTGAGGAGACTCTGGACAGGAAGGGGACTCTTTTCTGTGGTGTGTTCATGGGCTGTAGGAATCTCAGACAGTCACATGATCACCCATGAGGTACTGTACCACCGACCAATCAGCAGCCTCCATCACCAGGAATCAGCTGCTCAGGTCCCGGATCAATCAATCCTCTAAAAGGTCCTGGATCAGTCAGATATCAGGTCCGTCATATCACAGCAGTTTCTCTCTGGGAGTTTCTGAAGAGGAAGACCTGTTGCTCTGACTTCCTGTTACTGTTCAGGAGAACAAGTGGTAACAGACACACACACACACACACACACACACACACACACTCTCACACACACACACACACACACACACACACACACTCTCACACACACACACACACACACACACACACACACTCTCACACACACACACACACACACACACACACACACAGACACCCTGTCCGTCCTATGTTGTAATCAGCTGACTGATGTCGTTACTCTGCAAATGATGTGAAAGCATTTCGAGAATCGAACTTCCACATGAAGCACAACGCCTCAGCTGATCATAATCATCAGCTGTGACATCATCACTCATCATCAGCCTCAGTGCCTCTGAGCAAAGCACTAAACCCAGACCTGCTCACAGACCAACACCTGCACAGGTGGAGACCGAAGACAACCGTGGACATTCATAGACCTCGGCTTCATACCACAAGACAGAAGTTCAAACCCCGCCTATTTTCTCACCTTCACACAGCATTGACATCACAGTGACATCACAGTGAGCATTAATCAGGTGTCTGCAGCACAGACTGAGGTCTGGTTTACTCTGAAGCTTCAGCTGAAACAGGAAGTTCAGTTTCCTCTTTACAGGATGTTTGTGTTCCATGTGAACGCCCCGTTTCCCGCGCTCCTGAACGTATCACGCCAAGCCACCGCCTCACTGAGCACTGTCTCACTGCAGATTGTCTCACTGCAGATTGTCTCACTGTCTCGCTGCAGATTGTCTCACTGTCTCACTGCAGATTGTCTCACTGTCTCGCTGCAGATTGTCTCACTGTTTTACTGCACACTGTCTCACTGCAGATTGTCTCACTGTCTCACTGCACACTATCTCACTGCAGGCCGTCACTGTCTTACTGTCTCACTGCAGATTGTCTCACTGCAGATTGTCTCACTGCAGATTGTCTCACTGTCTCACTGCAGGTCGTCACTGTCTTACTGTCTCACTGCAAATTGTCTCACTGCAGGCCGTCACTGTCTTACTGTCTCACTGCACACTGTCTCACTGCAGATTGTCTCACTGTCTCACTGCAGCTCGTCACTGTCTTACTGTCTCACTGCACACTGTCTCACTGCAGACCGTCACTGTGTTACTGTCTCACTGCAGATGGTCTCACTGTCTCACTGCAGACTGTCTCACTGTCTCACTGCAGACCGTCACTGTCTTACTGTCTCACTGTCTCACTGCAGATTGTCTCACTGTCTCACTGCAGGCCGTCACTGTCTTACTGTCTCACTGCACACTGTCTCACTGCAGATTGTCTCACTGTCTCACTGCAGGCCGTCACTGTCTTACTGTCTCACTGCACACTGTCTCACTGCAGATTGTCTCACTGTCTCACTGCAGGCCGTCACTGTCTTACTGTCTCACTGCACACTGTCTCACTGCAGACCGTCACTGTGTTACTGTCTCACTGCAGATGGTCTCACTGTCTCACTGCAGACTGTCTCACTGTCTCACTGCAGACCGTCACTGTCTTACTGTCTCACTGTCTCACTGCAGATTGTCTCACTGTCTCACTGCAGGCCGTCACTGTCTTACTGTCTCACTGCACACTGTCTCACTGTCTCACTGCAGACCGTCACGGTCTTACTGTCTCACTGTCTTACTGTCTCACTTCTCACTGTCTCACTGCAGGCCGTCACTGTCTTACTGTCTCACTGCACACTGTCTCACTGTCTCACTGCAGACCGTCACGGTCTTACTGTCTCACTGTCTTACTGTCTCACTGCAGATTGTCTCACTGTCTTACTCTCTCTCTGTCTTACTGCAGGTGTGGATGCGGTCTGTACTATTAATAGTTATTGTTAAAGTAAATAATATAAATAATATTAAAGTATTCATGAAGTTTTTATAAAATTTAAAAAAAGTTTTGTTGTTTTGAAATGACATCGCCTCAGTTCACGCGCTCTCAGTCTGGTGGGTGGTGCTCCCTCATTTAACAGGATTTTACTTTATCAAGTATTTTAGATAGATGACGTAACTGACCTGCAGAGACCCTCCAGCTCCACCCTGCTGGGAGCTCACCACCCCAACCTGTCCCACTCAGAGTCCAGGTCCCTGTTCAGATCCAGTCTTAGTCCCTCTCTGTCTCTGAATGAATCATGTCTCATCCACTTCATCCAAACTTCCGCTCTGCGTCAGTCCCTCCGTTCTCACAGAAAACGGACTGAAACTAGAGACTGAGAACCGGGAAAGCAGAACTGTTGGAGGACTCAGGACTATCAGCGGGACGAGCTGCTTCCTGCAGGACTCACCGACACAGCCCGGACCCTCACATCAGATCTGCTCCCGGTCTCAGCCACATACAGATTTAAAGTGTCTCACCTCTGATCCGGTCTGGTTTCTGGTCTCTGTTCTGGTCTCTGTAGGTCTCTGTCCCGGGAAATACACCAGTAAAGTCCGGGGCTGGTCTCAGGCAGACTGGGGTCTCAGGGAGGAGAAACTCCGCTCTGACCTCAACGTGAAGTTACACTGAACAGCCGCTGCTGCAGCTTCCGGCTACCGATTTCAAAATAAATGTGTCGAGCCAGAAGAGCATGCACTGTTTCCGGTCAGTGTACTTCCCAAAATAAAGTAAATAAATCGGTAAAACCAGACCAGTGATTTATGAATAATAAACAATAATGGAAAAAAATTATACAATGTGATGATACATCATGAGCGGAAACAATCATTTAGGACTTATATCCTTATTTTATTGATAAATGATCAAAATAAATAAATTATATTCAAATATTAACAAAAATCAAATCAAATAATTTTCCAAAGTCAAATCAGTAATCAGTGTTACAGGATCCTGTTCACACTGAGTTCACTACATTTCTGGTAGTTTCTGTTGTCATGACAACAAAGTGAACTGTAGGTGTGAACAGTGGTTGTGTTCTATCCACAGTGTACATAAACAGCGCTCCCTGCTCCCTGCTCAGGGAATATCAGTTAAGTGAACTTCCCTCGACAAAATTCTTTAATTCGGAACACCCTGCAATGTCATCAACGCAGACATCCTTCTTCCTCTGTGCGTCACCCTGGTGACGTAAACACCTCGGATACGTGTTGCTGCTACTGTGGACATTTTATACTACTGAAATAAAATATTGAATATATATTAAAACAAAAACTGATACTATTACAAAACTTATTCTATGTAACTTGTGAATAAATGTCATTGGGGTTAGGGTTAGATGTTGTCCATTGTTGTTTTTTGGCGCACCTGCAAGGTGCAATGACTGATGGGTAATCTTCTCGTCAACTTCCAGCAAACTGATAAACCTTTGTTCAGTTCTTCTCTGCTCAGTACACAGTTCCCTTTGAACTGAGCACCTTTTGCTCCCTATGGTTAGGAATCTTACTTAACATGGCTGAATACCTTGTGCAGTCCACTTCACAGGGAACTACTAGGCGATCGGAATGCACCTAGTGACTCTGAGCTCCACAGACGGAGCAGGTGAAGGCCCAGCAGGACCTGGGCTGTACTGGTTCTCCTGCAGTGGACTGAGTGTGCAGAGAGGAACACTGTGTCCTCTCATAGCCTCAGGACCTGGACTACGGTGGAGTTTCCTCCAACAACAATCAGAGTCCTGCAGACAGGAAACAGGAAGCGCCTGAGACAATAGAGTCCAGAGAGGATCCGGATCCAGCTGCATTCTTCAGGCTGAAGGAGGATGCAGTCACACATCAAGTTTTCCTCATCACCGCAGGAAGAAGGAGTCAGACTAGAGACCAGTCTTTAGTTTTCTGTTTCAGATATTTATTTCTGACCATGGACCTGCTCACAGTCCTCCACTCTGCAGAGCCGGTCTCTGTCAGACTCAGAGGGGCCAACACAGAACCGCAGACCACCAGGAAAAAGTCCTCCACAGTCTGTGACATCACCTGGTCCGACCTGGTTAGCGCCACCTTCTGGTCTGGATTGTGAACATCTCCTGAACTATGAAGCTCAGGGTTCCTTTAATCAAGATGAGACCTGCAGAGACCAGATCCTGCTCCTCAGGTTCATTACAGACCTGCACAAACTTCAGATCAGCTGATTTTATCTCTTTGTTCTGTTCCTGAGGTCAAAGGTCAAACTGTAACTTTACAACTTTATTCAGTAACACTTTATTTACAGCTTCATTAATTTCTAATAAGTTCTTGAGTTTCCTGAAAAGAGGAAGAAGAAGAACAAGAAGAGGAGGAAGAAGAAGAAGAACTGATACTGAAGTGTAATTATTTTGTTTTTTATTTTGAAGAGTGAATCAAACAGAGGTCTGGGACATTCTGAGTTCATTCATTTTATTTTGAAGGCCTTGTTATGGAGCCTGTACTCACATCAGTGTATCTAACATCTGTATCTAACATCTGTCTCATAACCAGTGGTTACACATGTTACTCAAGTGTGAGTGATGAAGGATGAAGATGATGATGAAGCTTTTAAAGGAGTCTGTCATTGAGATCTGATGTTTCCTCATGTAGCACAGATACTGAATCCTTCAGGACCAGGACCAGGACCAGGACCAGGACCAGAGCCAAGATCAGGACCAGGACCAGGACCAGGACCAGGGCCAGAGCCAGAGCCAGAGCCAGAGCCAGGACCAGGACCAGGAGCAGGACCAGAGCCAGGATCAGGGCCAGAACCAGGGCCAGAGCCAGGACCAGAGCCAGAACCAGAACCAGAACCAGAACCAGAACCAGAACCAGAGCCAGAGCCAGAGCCAGGACGAGGACCAGAGCCAGAACCAGAGGTCTGGTCAGGGCCAGAACCAGAACCAGAACCAGAGCCAGAGCCAGGATCAGGACCAGAGCCAGGACCAGAGCCAGGACCAGGACCAGGACCAGAGCCAGGACCAGGACCAGAGCCAGCATCTTGATGCAGAGTTCATCAGCAGCACAGTTTTAATTGTTTCATCAGTTCAGAAACAAACTCTTTGAATCTGAACTTTATTGATTTCAAGCAGAATCAGTTTACCACAACAAAGATAGATTATGGGAAGATGCTCCTCTCTATGTGTGGATTCACTTCTCAGTGAAGACAGACACACTGACACTGACCTGCTGCACACACACACACACACACTTCAGATGTTTAAACAGGCCGACTCGTTGAAGCAGCAGTTCGTTAACCTCACACTTGGTCACAGTTCAGGTTGTAGTGAAGTTGTTTGTCCACTGGGAGGAGCTGCAGACTTACATACAGGTGCACACACACACACACACACACACACACACACATACACACACACACACACACCTGATGTTACACCTTTTCTCTACATTAACAAACAGACTTTAAGGTTAAACCATGAAAAGATTAAAATCTGAAACATTTCACACTTTTATTCAAACATCGTCAGCTGATATTCAACAGCAAATATTATGATTTCTTTCACTCAGAGAACCAAGTAACTGCTGCCACAGGGGCCTGATCAGAGGTCAGGGGTCAGGAGGTTAGGGGGTGTGGGGCAGGAGGTCAGGGGTCAGAGGTCAAGGGTTAGGAGTTGAGTGGGTCAGGAGGTCAGGGTTCAGGAGGTGAGGGGGTCAGGGGATTGGGGAAGAACACTTAAGGTGAGTGGAAAGTTGTGCCACATGACCAGTTGTTATCATCATCAATGGAATTAGAGTCTCTTTGTAAATTTTGTCACATGACAGAAGTTATTCATTTATTGCTGCAACATGCTGTAACATGTTTGGATCATCAACATCTTTGGATCATGTGACACTCACTCCCCACCCCCTACAACTGTTAGCATCTGATGGTTAGCAGCTAAATGCTACAGCAGGCAGGAAGCTGACCCCAGATCAGACCAGATCAGGGCCGGACTCTGAAAACCACATGAAGAACTGGTTTTAACCCATTTATACCGGATACTGCGCAGCACAACATTGCCCCTCCCGCCGGTTGCTGCGTAGCGCAGCATTGTTGATTCCTCGTCACTTTCATGACGCATGCAGCATATAAATATGTAAAATATGTATAAATATATCATGAAAATGACGAGGAATCAACAATGTTGCGCTGCGTAGCATCCGGTATGAATGGGTTAAAGCTGTTGGTTGGTTGGGACCACCGGATCCAGCAGAACCAAAGGAACCATTGGAACCATTGGAACCATTGGAACCACTGAAACCATTGAAACCAACAGAACCATTGGAACCAACAGAACCAACAGAACCATTGGAACAATTGAAACCATTGAAACCAACGATCAGAACCAGTTCAGGTGCAGTCTGGTCCTGTTCTGATCAGTGTGAATTTCTTGTGAATTTCCAAACACACACAAACATAAAGCAGAGAGACATCAGTTTGCGTGTCTAAGTGTCTTCGTCGTCGCTGTGGTGCGTCTTCTCCTCGCTCACACCACTCTCGTCGATGTTCTCCAGGGAGTCGGCTCGCTGCAGCGTCAGCTCCAATGCGCTGATGCATGGCAGCGTGTTCTGCTCTGGAAACATCCATGGCTTCAGGGTCGGGTTGTGCTTCTTCTTCCAGTCCGGATACTTCAGAGACGCCTTGTAGATCTTCCTCATCGCCTGAGAGGAGAGAGACACAGAGACAGAGCTCTTTATACCTGATAAGACAAGGACCTGTTTGACTTTCACTGCTCAGAAAGTGATGATTTTACCTTTGGAGCCACAAACTGAGAGACTCTGTTCACCACCCACTTTGGTAGAGACCCTGCAGACAGGGACAGAGACAGGGACAGAAACAAGGACAGGGACAAAGACAAGGACAGGGACAGAGACAAGGACAGAGACAGGGACAGAGACAGGGATAGAGACAGTGACAGAGACAGGGACAGGGATAGAGACAGGGACAGAGACAGTGACAGAGACAGCGACAGAGACAGCGACAGAGACAGGGATAGAGACAGGGATAGAGACAGGGACAGAGACAGGGATAGAGACAGGGATAGAGACAGGGACAGAGACAGGGACAGAGACAGGGACAGAGACAGGGATAGAGACAGGGACAGAGACAGGGACAGAGACAGGGACAGAGACAGGGACAGAGACAGGGACAGAGACAGGACGTTACCGCTAAAATAAAAAAGAGATAAAGACTGAGTTCTGTATTTGTGTGAATGTACAATGAGCTAACACAAACAGACACACACACACACACACACACACACACAAACAGAGACAGTAACAGACACACACACACAAACACACAAACACACACACAAACACACACACACACAAACACATACACACACACACACACACACACACACACACACACACACACACACACACACACACACATAGACTGGGCTACTGGATTTACTGGTTATTTACCAGGTGACTGACTGCTGAAGATGAGGGTGTGTGTGCTGCGTTTAAAGACAGTGGTAAAGGTCAGTGTTGTCCCCTCACCTCTGGGGTCCACCTGGGTCAGGTAGTACAGGGTGGAGCAGTTGGCTCCATTGGACTGGATCAGGTATCCAGTGAGCAGGGACACAGCGCGGACGTAGTCCTTCTTAGGAGGGTGTTGCTGTTCAGCCAAACACAGACAGGTCAAAGGTTAGTCCACTGCTCTCCGAATCACCTGCAGGACATGAACCTCATGAACCTTTTCATTATAACGTTGACAAATGAGAACAGTGAACCCAGGTGAGTCCAGGTGAGGTTTAAAGTTCTCTGGGTGGTCCCCTCTTACTCCAAACCAAACGCCAAAATAAAAGAACACAGAGACACTGACCGGGTGTTTGACAGAGTAGTTGATGATCAGGAAGTCGTTGCCCAGGGGAAGCCAAGATCTCATTGTCACAAAGTCTCTGTTCTTCAGAGGACTCGGACATTTCCCTTCACACACACACGCACACACACACACACACACACACACACACACACACACACACACACACACACACACACATTAACAGATTAATACAGAGAGGTTAAGGATGAACACACAGAGCTGCAGAGCTTCACTGACAGGANCACCCCCGCCCCCCCCAACCAGAGATACAGAACACTAAAATAAAAGTGTTGAGTCAGTCGCAGCTTCCCACAGAACATA